TTTTTTTTTTTTTTTTTTTTTTTTTTTTTTTATTTTTTTTTTTTTTTTTTTTTTTGTCTTTTGTCTTTTTTCTGTGTCCGGCAACGGATCGCAACCCTCAGTGTTGCCCCCGTACCGGACCGGGGACCGGCAACGGGATCGCAAGCCTCGGTGTTGCTCCCGCGCCTCGCTCAGCCAGTGAGCGGGAGCCGGTCCGTATGTGGGATCCGAACCCTCGGACGGTAGCGCCGCCGCGCTTCCCAAGCGGCGCACTATCCAGTGCGCCACCAGGCCGGCCCTTAAGTAAGCCTCTTAAATTCAAGTACTGGTTAAGCAAAGAGTTCTGTTACTTTAGATTAGATTAACCAGTAAGTACATGATTCCAATGTTTGCCACTTATACAAGGATGAGAGTCCACTGCACGGAGGAACTAAATAATTATCAATCTGGGGATAGGTGGAAAAGCATTCATTCTAGTTCACACATTAAATTTACAAAGCTCTAATAGATAGATTAAAAAGGAAAAAAGAACTGCACAGACATTTTGTAAATCATAGCCCAAAGGTGACTTAGAGGAAACAGTAAAGAAGCCCACAGACATTTCCGCTTCTCTCAAGACAGAAACAGTATAACTGAACTGACCACAAAAATTCAGATTAAGCAGTACTGACCCCAGTAACTCTGAGGACCCCTTCCATGCCAGAGAACAAAAGATAGAGGGCTCCTGCTACCACAACTTTGTGAAGAGTAACTCCAAGACGAGGCCTAAAGAGGAAGCAAAGAGATAGTTGAGTATAAATGTGACAAATCTCAAGACAAGCAAAGTAACGGGAATTCATGTTGATTAACAGAGGCAAACAATTTAAAGAGATAAACAACACATACTTAATTCACCTGAGAGAAGAAAACTCATAAGAACATATGGTCTTAAAACAAGAGAGAGAATACAAGAACTTAAGATGTGGTCTCCAGTTACTACATTTTAAAGAGATTTTTATTATAGAGAATTTTGAATATTCAAAAGTAGTATAATGAGTCCCAACAACCATCAACCTATGGTCAATTCTGCCCCATGCATACCCCATCCACTTCTCATCCTTTCATACTATCTTTAAGCAGATCCTAGACTGTATATATTTTTATTTGTATATATTTCAGTATGTTTTTAATAAATAAGGACTTTTTAAAAAACATAACCATAATACCACTAAAAATTTTAATAATTCCTTAATATAATCAAATATCTTATTATAGTTTATTAAATAAATAGTACATTTGAAAGATCAAAACTAGGGCCGGCCTGGTGGCGCGCACTGCTACAGTGCGCCGCTTAGGAGCGTGGCGCCGCTCCCGCCGACGGTTCGGATCCCACATACAGACCGGTTCCTGCTCACTGGCTGAGCGAGGTGTGGGCGCAGCACCAAGGGGTGCGATCCCGTTGCCAGACACGAAAAAAGACAAAAAGGAAAAAAAAAAAAGAAAGATCAAAACCAAACAAAATACGAAGTCTTTTGAGCAATTTCTGTTTGAAGGAGAAAAAGCCTTGGTATTCAAAAACCTACTGAATCAGAATCTACATTTTAATAAGATCCCCAGGAGATTCATTCAGTATACTATAGTGTGAGATGCACTGTCTTAAATCATGTGTTCCTAAGCCTTGGCAGTATGTGTTCTTATATTTTTTTGTTATACACTAGGAAAAGCTCCCACATGAGTAGGGAATTTTCCCCCCTGTGGTGTATCATAGAACTAGAATACTTCCTGGCATACAGCAGGCACTTAAATATTTGTTCAATGTATAAATAAATTCTAAGAATTAACCCCCCCCCCATTCCTCTAATCCCATTTCAAGCAAAACTCCTTTCATTGAATAAATAAATTTTAAAAATTAGCCTACCACCACCATTTAATCCCACTGAAGGCAAAATTCCTTAAAATAACTATCTGGTCTTGGGTTTGGATCCCCTTACTGGCCAGCTGCCAAAAATAATGATAATAATTGTCTATACCTGGCTAACTCCAATTGCCCTCCTCTTGTTCTCTCTTGAACTCCCTCCAATAGGACTTTTGTCCCTCACGCTTCACCAAAACTGTTCTTGCCACTAATACCCTCCATGTAGTTAAATCCAGTGGTCAATTTTCAATTTTTTTGCTTGACCTATCAGGAACATTTCACCACAATTAATCACTCCCTCCTTGAAACAAAGTCTTCAGTTTGCCTCCCATCTCACTCACTGGTCATTCCTCAATTTCCTCTGCTAACTAACTATACTTCATCTCACTAACTTCTAAATAATAGAAAATGTTCAAGGGCCTAGTCCTTGGACCTCTTCTGCATATACATTCACATCCTTGTTGATCACATCCAGTCTCATGACTTTAAATAAAATCTACACGTTGATGTCTCCCAAACTTGTATCTCTGCCCCAACCTCCCACTTGTTTCTCCCATTTGGATATTTAACTGAACTCCTAATCTTGCCCCCAATCTACTTATTCCACCTAAGGTCTTCCTGAACTCTAAATGTCGATGTCATCCTGCCACTTGATCAGACCGAAACTCTGGGTTGGCACCATGTTTGATTCCTCGTCTTTTACATCGCACATCTGATCCATTAGCAAATTCCACTGTTTCTACCTTCAAAATATATACTGAATCTGACTGCACGTCAGCATCTCTTCTCCTCGGTGTATATAGAGCTAGCTCCCTCACCTTTGTGAGGTTTTTGCTTAAATATAACTAAGTGAAGCCTTCCACGACTACCCTATTAACTACTGCAAGCTCCAACTCCTGCCTGGCACTCCCTATCCCCTTTTCCTGCATTATCTGCTCCACAGAACTTTTCACTGACATACGAGAGTACTTCAAAAAGTTCATGAAAAGATTCACAACATCTGTTAATTCTATTTTTCCATGAAGTTTTTGAAGTACCCTCATATTAGATATTTTACTCACTTAAATTTTGTCTGTACCCCCTCCCTCTGCAAAGGTAAACTCCATGTCTTTTCTTTATTTGCTGTATCTCCAGGGCCTAGAAAAATGTGTGGTATATAGAAGGCACTCGATAAAATTTTTTTGAATATAAAATAAATTATTTTCAGATGGTTACAGCAGGAATGTTCTTTCGATAAAAAACCTCATTTGCAAAAATATTCTGGAAGGGGCCGGCCCGGTGGCGCACTGGAGAGTGCGCCACTTGGGAGCACGGTGAGGGTTCGGATCCCATGTGGAGACCGGTTCCCGCTCACTGGCTGAGCGTGGTGCGGGTGCAACACCGAGGGTTGCGATCCCGTTACCGGTCAGTAAAAAAGACAAAAAGGAAAAAAAAAATATTTTGGAAGAATAAAGTCGCTATAAGTTTACTCTAAAAGTTTGATGTTTCAATGTCATTTGTTACATTGCAGGTTTTCCTACACATGATCTCTGAGTTCTAAATGAAATAAAACATTAACATTTTTCCAGCATTTACAATGCTACAAAATTTCAGATACCTTTTACTCCAGAATTATTTCTTTTATCATCTCTCTGAGAACTACTACATTGGAAACCTACTATTTTAATTTAATCAGCATTTTAATTTGCTCTTCCATACAGGAAGTTAATACTTACTTAACTATGCCATATCCCAGACTGACTATAATAACAAGTGTTCGAGCCAGTGAGCGTTTCACTGCTGAAAGCAGCTCTGCAAGGATCAAGGCACCTTGGACTATGAAAAAGAAGAAAGGAAGAGATAGCACTATAATTTAGGTTCAGCAAAGGCACAATTCCCATATCAGAAAGTTGATCTCTAACATCTTCAGAATAAGCATTGCTATTAGTCCTACTAAAAAAGAATACTACCTCTGCGATTTTTACAAGTACACAATCTGGTATTACTTACAATCTTATGCATATGTATAGCAATCTGAGTGTGTTCAATTCACCTCCCTTCCCAACCCACCCCCAACTTCGCTAAAACCATAAAAGACTACCTCATCCTATACAGACAGTTTATAGCAACAATGGAATTTCCCCCTATTTTAAAAAACTTTGAAATATAGCTATATACAGAGAAAAGCACAAAACACAAAAATGCACACGTGCGTGTACAGTTTTCAACTCATTTTCTCATCTACTATTTTCAAGTCCTTTCAAAGACCAGGAAAAGATCTAATTAGTGTATCCTACAACAATAACTATTATTAAATCAAATGGTCTTATGAGACAGAATCAAAGCTATCACAAAAAGCTTTAGTACAAAATTTCTGTCATTATCAGTTCACCTTACTAAACCATAAGCACTCTCCTATTTTCTTGGTATTACTGAATTTTATCAATTCTTGGACGCACTCCCCCACACCCCACATTTTAAAATCTTTTAAATCTAAGGCATGTCTTACAATCAATGGCACCTTACAATTAAATTGGCATTGTTTACTTTCTTTCTTAGATGTATATACTATTAGTGCCTTAGAAATCAATGGCAAATGAGATTCAATGACAGTAATTCCCAAAATAGCCACTACTGCTGTAACTTTTGCAAGTATATTTCTGTGATTACTCTCACGTCACTGAACCACAGGTTATGAGATTAAAAGAAAGCCACAATCACAGTAAATCTGCTTAAGTTATACTAATAATTAAATAATTGAAGAGTTAGACCTATTTAATGACTGCTGACCTTAGGAAAATTTTCACACAACTCACCTGCCAATTACACAAACTGGCAAACGCTTTTTGATTACATACCAGATTCTCCTTTGTATCGAATATTCTGAAATTCTGCATAGAAGACAGCTTTCTCAAGCATTCCCAGGAAGATGACAGCACCAATCCAAAACTGAATTCTCAGAAGATCTCTCCAGTAGCAGGCAGACCATGCCAGCCAAAGAACACCAAACAGGACATATACAATACACATCACCATGAAAAACTGTCATCCAGTTGGATAAGAAATAAAAAGCAAAATTAGGGCCAAGAGCTAAGTATCTAAATTTAGAATCAATATATAGTCTTTAAAAAAATACACATTCTATCTTCTATTTAAAAAATAATTATTTCTTTAGAGTTTAATACTAATACAAAAAATTACCTCCTCTTGAGCACAGAGAGACTATATAAGGACTTGTCCTCAAGAGTGACTGCTCTCCTATATTAAATAAGCTTTTTCAGCTCACAATCTAAAAATTATGTAAGTGAAGACAACACTGAACGGGAAAAAGGCATGACAGGATGAGTACACACCTAGAGGTAGACTCTTAAAGGGAAAGGAAGAAGAGAATAATCATGAACAAAGGAAGTCTGAAAACAGATTATGGATATTGTCAGACACAAACGTGTGTGTGCACACGCACAATGAAGAGGAGGAAGCTTCATTATTTAGTTTCTTTAAGTGGGATCAGAAACTATAGGTTTGTAGTAAGAAGTGCCCTACTTTGGATCCTAGAGAGAATGTGTGATGTGAAAGATCTTTGAGGTATTTCCCAAGTCTAAAATCCACAAGTTATTGACCCCTTCATTTTATAGTTAAGAAAATGAGGCACGGGCCGGCCCGTGGCTCACTCGGTAGAGTGCGGTGCTGATAACACCAAGGCCCCGGGTTCGGATCCTATATAGGGATGGCCGGTTTGCTCACTGGCTGGGCGTGGTGCTGACAACACCAAGCCAACGGTTGAGATCCCCTTACCGGTCATCTTTAAAAAAAAAAAAAAAAAGAAAATGAGGCACACAGGGGTATACTGAGTCTCCTAGGGTCACAATCTAATAAGAAATAAGTCCAGAACTATAAGCAACATTTTCTGAATTGTATAGAAACAATTTTTTTAAGAGAATACTGCCACAAAACATGGAAAGTCTTTCAAGCTAAACTCATTTAATGTTAAGATTAAAGAATATAAGTTCACTTACAATCATCAATGGATAGTCCTCAAGTGTGAGGTATTCATAGGGACCCTTCACTTCAACAGTCACTGCCAAAACACAGTCCTCAGAATTAATTTAAAGGATGCAGAAATTAAACAAAAACACTAATATTTGATGAAATTAATTTCATTAGGTTATTTACTTTTAACCACTTCAATCCTGGTGAATATTATACTTCATTTGTACAACACTTTGAAATTCATTAAGTGTCCTCATAATTCATGCTATCTCCTGTACAGGCTTTCATGCCTTCACTCTAGTCTGAAGTGGGAAAGCCCTTTTTGTTCCCATACTCATATCCCTTAGACTACATCAAATGATATTTCCTCCAGAAAGCCTCCTCTGAGCTGCCCATCTAGAACTATTTCCCACCTCCTCTAAATTCTAAACACATTAAACATATACTTTTTCTTATAACACATCATTAATATGCTTTGTAGGACTTCTATTCTTCATTCTGCCACCTTCTTTGTTTGCTATCCCTCCTCACCTATGTTTTCCTACTGTTTTACTATTTTTTTAACCAACTTCAATTTTATGAAGTAAGGCATTTAAAAAAAACCCTAGAAATTCATCTTAACACACACTAATAATGTACCCTTCCTGATAAAATAAGGTGGAAAACAATCCACTTTCCCAATCATGTACACTAGATCCTCACTCCAAAATGAAAATAAGCCAAAAGTTCAGATGGAAGCAAGACACCATCCAATAAACATAGAGCTGAACTTTCCCAAAACTTGCTAGTTAACATTTTTCAAAGATTTTGTTAATAATAACAAATAGCATTATATTTAATATTATATTAATTATAATTAAATTATATTTAATGTCCATTTATTGTTTAAAAAATTTTAAATATGTCTTTTAATGAAGCAGAAAAACTGATAGTAACAACATGAATCTGAAAGACAGATTTGCCTTATTGAAGCAAACCTATTGACTATTTTAAGATCATCTGTAATTGATAAAACTATTTTAAGATTGTAATTGATCAAATAATTTGGATAAATTCTAGGTATGACTAATAAATAAAAATATGACTTATCTGAGAAGTGATCATCTCCAGAGATAGACTAATAACTTCCCATTCAACAGAAGTTTCCTACTAGCTTTTATCAGGCATGATAAAAGGACACACCATTACTGAAAGTAAACCAGGTCTAATAATACTCGTATGAACAAAAGGAGCTTCCCATAATAGAAATCATAAAAATTTCAGAGCTGAACTGGTTATCAAATCTATATCTTCCTAATTTAATAAAACAGCAAACAAAACTGTTTGGTGAGTATTTGTCACAGTCTTTGCTTACTCTATGCCAGGAATCAGCAAAATGCAGCACATGGGCCAAATGTGTCCATCCACTTTTTTCCTAAATAAAGTTTTATTGGAACACAGCCACATCCATTCATTCATGGATTGTCTATGGCTGCCTCTGAACCACCATGGCAGAGTTGGGTAGGTGCAATGGAAAAAATATTTACTATCAGGCTCCTTAAGAAAAAGTCTGCTAACCCCTGCTCTATGCTAAAATATACATTTACTGAGCACTTAGTATTTGACAAGCCTATGGAAAACATAGCAAACAGAAAGATGAGTAAGATGTTTTCTGCTATCTAGTGGATTACCATCCAAAAGGGTAAAGGGAGCCAGAAAGCAACATAGAGAACTAGCCCTCTGAACCAGATGCAGGATGAGTATGTATTTTCTAGGACAAAGTAAAAAGCCTTCCAGGTAGAGGAAATATCATGAATAAAAACAGTTGTGAAAGTGTGTAGTATACTTAAAGAACAGGTAGTGTGAGACTGCACATAGTACAATACAGTAGTGTTTTGGCATAAGGCAGCAAAAGGTAAACTGGGACAAGCTGTGAAGAGTTTTACAAACCTTGCTGCAAAATGTGGACATTTTATAGGCAAGGAGGAATCATCAATGGTTTTAATGAAGGAAAGAAAGATAAAACTATTTTAGATAAATAATTCTAGGACTTTCAGATAATGTAGTAAAGTCCATCCTTTAATGTACCTTTTCACCACCAAACAACAGATGGATAAAATATAAAAAAGAGAAAACAGGGCCAGCCCGTGGCTCACTCGGGAGAGTGCGGTGCTGATAACACCAAGGCCCCGGGTTCGGATCCCATATAGGGATGGCCGGTTCGCTCGCTGGGTGAGCGTGGTGCTGACAACACCAAGTCAAGGGTTAAGATCCCCTTACCGGTCATCTTTTAAAAAAAAAAAAAAAAAGAGAAAACAAAAGGACATTAGCTCAAAAACAAGATAAACATTTCCAAGAATCATAACTGAACAGAAACTCACAACAGAGCATGAGGCTGAATCCATGGTCATGTTTGACTCTGGACTCAAAAGCAGACTATGGTAGTTAGAAGTGCAATTCCTATGGGATCACTAAAACTTGTAGAATTTAAAGAAAAAGAGCAGGGACCGAGCCAGGTTTGATGCAATGAAGAGGCTGAAGTGAAGTGGAACAGGGCTTCTAGTCCATCCTTTTCAAAGAAAGAGGGTTGAAAATAAACGCTAGCAACTGCTCCTTGACACCATTACCCATTAAAAAACTGTGGGCCTAGAAAGGCAGTAGGATACACATATATTCTGAGGTCCAGAAACTGTGCCAGGCCACCTGCTGGTTTGCCTAAATCTGCTACACCCCCATATCACTATGGGGCATAATAAGACACATTTAGATTGGAAGTTAAGCATTCAATACAAGAATCACAAAAAACAAAAGTTTAAGATTAAGTCAGATAAAAGAAAGAAAATGATAAAGAAGATAATCAAATAGACAAAAAAATGGTTGGGAAAATTAACAAAACCAAAAGCTCATTCATCGGGATAAAAATACAACAAAATAAAATTCTAAAAAGGTTTAACATGTTAAAAAAAGAAGACACAAAAGCAATATTAAGGATTTTAAAAGACTAGATACAGTAGATTTTTGTAAAGAAATACCATGAATAACACTGCCAATAAATTTCTTCCAAAAAAAAAAACACCAAAAAACAAACAAACCCACCCTGATCCAAGGAAAAACAGAAAAACTAAAATGAAACACTTATTACTATTGAACATAAATCATTTAAAACTACCTGGGGCAGAAAAAAAGAACATCAGGTGGAAACAGTACTACATGTGAGTTCTACTAGACATTAAAGGAATGGATAATCCTACCCTTACAAAAAACTGTTCCACAGAATATAAAAATGACACTCTTGCATTCATTATATGACACTAGCATAACCTGGATGCCAAAACCAGTGGAAGACAGTATGAGAAGAGAAAATATAGGCCAATCTTACTTTGAACACAGGCAACAAACAATAAAACACTAGCAAACAGAACCCAGCAATATGTATGTATGTGTATGAGACCGTGTGTGTGTGTGCGTGTGTGTATATCAAGACCAAGTAGTGGTAATTCAAGTATGGATTAACATTAGAAAACCAGTTAATGTAAGGGCCGGCCCATGGCTCACTTGGGAGAGTGTGGTGCTGACAACACCAAGTCAAGGGTTAAGATCCCCTTACCAGTCATCTTTAAAAAAAAAAAAAAAGAAAGAAAGAAAACCAGTTAATATAATGCACGCCACATTAACATTAAATGAGAAAGCACATGTAATCATTTTAATCAATACAATCAAAACCATTTGATAAAACTGAACACTCATTCTTAATACTTAAAAAAAGAAAAATACTTAGTAAACTGGGAATAGAAAGGAACATCCTTAACCAAATAAAGAATATTTTGAAAAATCTACAATAAACTTCACACTTAACGGTAAAATGTACCAATACTGCCAGTAAAGTCAAGAGCAAGATAAGGATGGATGTCATCACTGTTTCTATTCAATATTTTACTTGAGAAAACTGGGTAGGGAAGGAAACTGCAAAGTAGAAAGAAGAAACAAAAAAGGAAACCACAGGAAATAAGACCAGTTAGGAAGTTACTGCAAAATTCCAGGTAAGAGACAATGACTCCATGCACTGGGCAGCAATAGTGGAAAGGAGAAAACTTAAGAAAAATTCTTTAGTAATTAAAAATTACCAACACTAAATAATTTAAAAATTTCCGAGTTCTGACCTAGTGACCAAGTTTTGACAATTCTAGTTCAGAATACTGAGAATGTGATATTAATTAAAAATTCAAAAAGCAAGAGGATCAAATGAAGAAAAATGAAATCTAGTATCTGTAATACCTAGAAAGAAAGCCTATGTGAAGTGCCTAGAAGTGTGTCTGGTAATATTGGGTGCAGAACAATGTTAATTTCTCTTTCCCAATTTTTCCACTTCTCAACAAACATTCTTAATGGATCATCCCCTCACAAAAAGGAATTTTACACTACCTACCATTCATAGGACAATTAGATAGTAAAACAAATGTTAAAAAGAAACAGACTGAACTTACTGGTAAATAGATTACTCAGAGAATTTTCTTTTAATGATTCCTTTGAGGATGAAATGCCAATATGTACAATAAAAATGTATGGTGCATCCTGCCAAGTTTGCAACGGTTCATGCATTGCCTACAGAGGGGAAAAAAGTATCAAACCTTCAAGTCTTAAGAATTAAGAGCACACATTAATAGCACAATATAAAAAATCCAGGATGATGTCAGTAAATGTGAATTATAAACATCAATTCCTGAATTCCCTTTGTTCAATGCCATTTCCAAGATTACCAGAAGTCCTGCTGACATGGTCTCACATTTACATCAAAAATTTAATTTTGGGCTAGTCTATATGGTAGGCAAGAGTCACTGTCCCCCAGTCAGGGAAGTCGAATTAACAGCTGCCAAGTCCCTGACTTTGGGGGGCAGTGACGCTCGGTTTCCACACAGATTAGTCTTCACAAACACAAAAGTAAGATACAAAGATAAAGGAGATGAACACAGAAAACGATTGGTTTCTTTTTCCTCAAGTGTGAAAGGAGGTACTGCTACTTAGACTTGCAATTTATTACTGTCTGATCTTAAAAGGAGAAGCTTTTATCTAGAGATCTCTGGGTAAGCTTCATTGATCTATGAAACCCTTCAAAGCGGATAACAGATTTTACACATTTATGATTTTTCTTGTAGAACCACAGCTTTTCTAAATGTCCTACAACCCAAGAAAAGGTTAAATAAGAAATTAAAAATTATATTCCATGATACAATCCAAAGTATCAAATAAAGCAGATTAACCAGTTCTTTAGCTATACATTTACTAGATTATTTTAGTAATTTGAGAACATACTGTCATGTTGAATCTCATACACTGACTTATCTCTGCCAAATAGCCTCTCTCTAACAAGATCCAGGAGCAGTACGTGAGGAAACTTTACAGCTCCAAAGTTATGGGTATCGTATATTCTATTACCTATAAGTACTGAACCTTTCCTGAACTTACTTGTCCGCTAACCAATGAAACTTTGTTTGGTGTAACAAGCTGCTCTGCTATTAATTTTATATATCTTTATAACTCCCTCTCGCAATTACAAAAGGTACTGATTAATTCTCATACGGATTTGATAAAGCGTATAACTATGGACTATAGGGATTTTGACCCTGTAAAAGTAACATTTATATGCCAGGCACTCTATTAAGCATGTAATATTTATGACTTTTTTAAATCCTCACAACTCTATCAGATAGGTACTTTTAGCTCCTTTTTTTTAAACTGAGGTAAATTTCACATAACATCAAAGTTACAACTTTAACATTTTGAATTAGTGTACAACTCAATAGCACATCACCTCTGCCTAGTTCTAAAACATTTTCATCATCCCAAAAGGAGACCCCTTTACTCATTAAGCAGCAACTCCCCATTTCTCCCTCCCCCCACCACTTGCAACCACTAATCTGTTCCCTCTCTCCATGGATTTGTCTAGTATGAGCATTTCCTATAAATGGAATCACATAATATTTGTCCTTTTGTGTCTGGCTTCTTTCACTAAACATAATGTTTTCAAGGTTCATCTATGTTGCAGCATGTATCAGTACTTTATTCATTTTTATGGATGACTGATATTCCATTTTATGGACATACAATGTTTTGTTCATTTACTCCTGCTTGGAGTTTTAGCTTTGTGAGCTTCTCAGCCTTTTTGAAATTCATGCCTTCACCAAAATTTGGAAATTTTTGGCTATTATTTCTTCAAATATTCTTTCCATACCTTTCTCTTTCTCTTTTCCCTCTGAGACTCCCATTCTGTATTGGTATACTTGATGGTATTTCATAGATCTCCTAAACTCTGTCCATTTGACCTCATTCTTTTCTTTTTCTACTCCTCTGAACAGAGAATTTTAACTGACCTACCTTCAAGTTCAGATTCTCTCTTCTGCCTGCTTAAATATGCTGTGAAACTCTCTAACCAATTTTTCATTTTAATTATTTTATTTTTCAGCTCCAGAATTTCTGTTTGATTCCTTTTTATAATTTTTATCTCTATGTTCTCTTGGTTTCCTTTAGTTCTTCACCCATGCTTTCCTTTAACTTTTTGAGCATATTTAAGACAGTTCATGTAAAGTCTTTGTCTGGTAAGTCTTAATGTCTAGGCTTCTTCAGAGGCCCTGTTATTTTTTTCCTCTGCAAATGTCACACTTTCCTATGTCTTTGCACACCGTGTAATTTTTGGTTGAAAACTAAGCATTCTGAATATTATAAAGTGGCAACTCTGGAAATCAGATTCTGCTCCCTCTCCAGAGTTTGTTGTATCTGCTGGTGTATATTATTCTTTTTTTGTTTGCTCAGTAACTTTTATAAATTATTTTTGTAAATTTTGTATTCTTTGCCCTGCGTAACTACAGAAGTATATGTTCCCTCAGCTTAGTAGTCAGCTAGTGTTTCAGCAAAGATTTCCTTAAACATCAGGAGCCAGAATGAGAAAAGAAAAAAAAACTCTCCTAGTCTCTGCAGATTGAGATAGTCCTTCAATACTTATCTGGGCCAATTAAAGCCCTTCCTTAGTCTTCACTTTCTGCTTGTGCAGTCTGAAGGCCAGCCAGAGTGAAAGCTGAGGGTCATCTTCACTGAGTGAAGTCTTCACTGAGCATGTGTCCAGTCCTGGGCATGCACATGGCTTTCTCAATCCCTTGGTACACACAGGAGCTATTAAAAGCCATTATTTTCCCACGTCTCCTTTCCAGACCTTTTCCTTCCCTGGCTTTACAGTCTATTTATTGTTTGTCCCCACTGTTATTGTCTCAAAATTGTAACTCCCCTTCAACAGAACTTTTCTAACTCCATCAGTAAGGTAAGATAATTAAGGCTGCATATGGTAATCCAGTTATTGATGCTCTGAGAAATATACACTACAAGGGTAGTTTTGTTCCCACCACATTCTATTTTTGATTAAGCACTGCATTTGACAAAATTATAGTAGTTACAAAACTAAACATACTCTTACTATACAATCCAGCAATTGCACTCCTTGATATTTACCCAAAAGAGCTGAAAACTTATGTCCACACAAAAGCCTGCCACAAATGTTTATAGCAGCTTTACTCATAATTGCTAAAACTTGGAAGCAGCCAAGAAGTCCTTCAATAGGTGAATGGATAAATTGACATATCCAGACAATGGGATATTATTCAGAACTGAAAAGAAATGAGCTATCAAGCCACCAGAAGACAGAAGGAACCTTAAATGTACAGTACTAAGTGAAATAAGCCAATCTGAAAAGGCCACATATCTGCATGATTCCAGCTATATGATACTTGGTAAAATCAGCCAATATGCATATAAATAAACATGGACCTTCAACAGCAATTTTTAAAATACAATTTACAACAATAAATTATTGCTTTAACTAGACAAACTGCATAAAATTTGTTTTAAATTATAACAGTCACTATTGGTGAGGAAAGAGGAAAAAATTCACTCTCTCTTTCTTAGGACCATAAATTCTCACAACTTCTCTGCACAGCACTTTGACAAAGCATAGAAAAACACTTGGATCTAGCAATTCCACCTCTAGGAATTTAGCCTAACTATGCAGCCATAGTACTACTCAATCTATTAATTTGTTAATGAAAACAAAGTATTACATAGTGGTAAATATAGTATGATCCCATTTTGTTATATATAACATGATCTCATTTTAATATGCTTGTGCTCTGCATAATCACACCGAACTGCTAAAATTGCTAGACAATAAAATTACAAAGGACCTTTACTTTTAAGTTATAGAATCAAAAACTTTTATCAGTATGAAATTCTTTTGAAATCAGAAAATATTTAAAAACAAATGTAGCTACAATATTCACTGTAACACTGTTTAAAATTGTAAGATAATGAAACACAAAGATCCAAGAACAGAGAATTTGTTAACAAATTGCAACGCATTCATACAATAAGATACTATGCAGGCATTAAAGTAATGATGCAATACAACATTTACTGAACTGGAAAGATGTCCATATTATATTGGTAAGCTACAAAAAAAAGTTGCCATAGAATACATACTCTTAAGATTCCCTTTTTAAAATAAAATATAAATATGCACGCGCAATACAACATTTACTGAACTGGAAAGATGTCCATATTATATTGGTAAGCTACAAAAAAAAAGTTGCCATAGAATACATACTCTTAAGATTCCCTTTTTAAAATAAAATAAATATAAATATGCACGTAGACAAATGACTAGAAGATAAATATACCAGATTATGTTCTTTTCATTTATGTGTATTTTCTAAATTTTTGATAGTGACTATATACATATTAGCTATAAGAAAAAAACCAATGGATGTCTTCTGTTTAAAAAAAAAAATTAAAGACTGTCATCTCTAATTCATTTTCAGGTTAAAATATTATACAACTAAAATTGGTGGGGGAGGAAGTGCAGACACCTGCAGAATGGCAGAATAAGGATCTCCAAAAATCCACGCATCTATAAAAGCAACAAGAACACTGGCAAAATCTATAAAAGTTAAGATTTTGGGAACTTCAAAATTTAAAGACTTGCAACAATCCAAGAGTGTTTCTTCAAGAAAAACAGCTGAATGTTGGTAAGAAAAGTAAGTTTGTAATGTTTTTGTTCACCCTAATTCCATCCCCCCTCCCAAGCTCGTTAAACTAAAGTCTTCGGAACTAAGAAACTACTACAACTGTGAAAAACAGCAGCTTTACAGCCACTGGAAAAAAGAAAACAGGTTTGGCAATCCCTTTTAAAAGACCAATCACCTGAGTTATATGGTAGATTGCTGAAAAGCTCCATTCTCAAGGCTTGCCTTTATCTGACCTTACTCAGAGATCACTCAGTGTCAACAACCCTGCACTCAGGGCATTTGTCAAAAACACTCAGCAGCAGTTCTAAAAGATCACAGCTGCCTGAGGTGAAGTTGCCAGCTGGGGCTTATCAAAATGCTAACCAAAAACTTAAAAGAAAAAATTGGAGAATGAGATGTCCACAGGGACTATGAAAAGCTCCAAAATATTCCTGGAAATCTAGAAGGCCATGAGTATGTGTAGGGCTGTGCACAAAGGCCCAGAGCTGTGCACACGCCCAGGAAAGACTTGAGAAGGCCCTAATCACTCACCTCTGGCTGATCTTAGGGCTCTGTGCAGACAGGAAGAAAAGGTTAAGACAGAGTTGTAAATTGTGAAAGAAGCCAGACACGAGTCCATGTGCTGCATGATTCTAGTTATATAAAATGTCCACAATAGGCAAATCCATAGAGACAAAAAGTAGATTAGTAATTGCCAGAGGCTAGGGGAAGGGTGTGATGGGGAGTGACTGATAATGAGTATGGGATTACTTTCTGCAGTGATGAAGAGTTCTGGAATTAGATAGTGGTGGGGGTTGGCACAATTTGTTTATATACCAAAACCCACTAAATTGTATGCTTTAAAAGGATAAATTTTGTGATATGCACTTGTATATTATGTTTCAATACAGTTGTTATAAAATTAAAAACTTTAATCAACTTCGCAAAATATATGACCCAACATGAATATCTACCTTACTTCCTCTATATTTTTAAACTCAGAAAGTTTTGAGGACTTAGTAATTATGAATCAGAAGGTGAAAAAAAGCATCCATAAAATATGTATTTATGAAAACTTAAGGCATATTTATACATTTTGATCTTATTTCAATTTTCCAAACTCTCTTCCAATTGTATTCTATTACAGATAAGTTTAGATGGAGTTTAAAAGTCTTTTTAATAAGTTTCTTCCTATTTATAAATGTTTATTAGGCAGGGTGATTACAAAAGCGATACAGGTTTACTGTAGAAAATAAAGAAAATACAATATCCAGAGACAACCACTTTTAACATTTTGGTGTATAGGTTCCAGTCTCTAAGTTTCTTTTAAAATGTCAGCATATTGAGAGAACAATTAAAAAATACACAAACATAAGAAAACTAAAATATGTGTTCATTGCCCCAAATTCCCAAATATACTTACAGTTTTGTCCCCAATAAAGGTAAGATTTGTTCCATTCTCCTTAGCCTTTAAACATTAAAAAAAAAAAGAACATTAATCAAGAATTTTTACTTTACTCTCAGAAATATATAACGAAAGCAATTACCTCCTGTTTTTCTCCTAAAAGAGGTAGTCGATGCACAAAATCCCCAGAAAAGCTCTATAAAAGAAACAAAAGTAAAATTCAAGATGTATAAATAGTAAAATAAAAGTGTAGTTCAAAATACACAGAAACGGTTAAAGCAAAACATAATACTATACCAGTAAATCTAATAATATGGCATCAGCAGACAAAAGATTTCCAATTAACCAAAAACAAGTGAATAAAACCCTGCTGAGAACTGAAAAATAGTATCAAACTAAATTGGCCACTTGATTTTTTCTATAAGACTAATAAACATTTACAAATGACAAAATCTTAGATATAGGATATATGCTTAGGACAAAGCGATATTAGATAAATCCCTCTCATCCTATAGATGAGGAAAATGAGGCTCAAAGCTATAAAGCTTTAGATGCAGAAACAGAATTTGAACCTAAGATTTCTGACTCTTAAGTCCATTGTTCCTTCCCCCACACATTAATGCCTGTAAAAAAAACAATACTAATTACCTGTCTTACCATTTATCAGTAGATGAGGCATTTTCCTTCCTGAGCAATTAGACTGTATAATTCAACTCTGATACATTAGTGTAGAAGAGAAGAAACCTTATCAACATGGGGTATATGCCAACACCTTGGCAAGATTATGCCAGATCTAAAAGCAGTGAACCCTGGGCAACAGGATGCAACAGGTAGCTTTCCATAATCAAATCTAAGAAGGGCCAACTGATCTCCTAGCCTATGGGATAAATTTAGAGAACCAAGAGAAAACCTAAGAACTACTCAACATCATTGTCCCTAGCTTTTTTTCCACCAATCTTCCACCATTTTAAAGCTATTTTCTTTTCCCTCCAAGTCCGTAAAATCTAAGCTATAACAAGAACTGACCCTTATAATTCAATCAATTACTTCATCTGTTTATCAATGATCACTTATTAAATAAAGTCTTACCAATAAACTTTATTTCTAGTAGGTGGACAGAAAACCCAGCTTTCAATGAACTCCTTGCCTCTTCAAGGCAATTTGCTAAACGTTCCAAAGCAAATTTTAGATGCAGTAAGGACAAAGCAAAGGCTATGGTCACAGTAACTATTTTCAACACCTATAAAATTTTTCTATCAAAAAATTTGTATTAGGCCGGCCCGTGACTCACTCAGGAGAGTGTGGTGCTGATAACACCAAGGCCACGGGTTTGGATCCCATATAGGGATGGCCGGGTAGCTCACTGGCTGAGCGTGGTGCTGACAACACCAAGTCAAGGGTTAAGATCCCCTTACCGGTCATCTTTAAAAAAAAAAAAAAAGTATTAGATCCTGTTTCAAAAACAACAGAATTTCATGAGAAATGCCCCTCATATGATTACATATACGTAAGCATTAAAAACATAGTATTATTCATCTCTTCTTCTTTCTCCAAAACAAGGTATGAAATTCAACCCTAAGGCAGTGATACCCTTTTGAATTCAGATCTGTAGCAGTAAAATCTAAAAAACGTGAGTTTTCTGTGAACATATGAATTAGATGAGGTGACAAGAGAATTAAAAATTTGAGGTTTCAAATGTCCATCAACAGATGAATGGATAAGTAAACTGTGGTATATAAGAGAACATTAACCCTTAAAAAGGAAGAAAACTCTGACATATGCTTCAACATGGATGAACCCACTAAGTAAAAGAAGACATAAAAGAACAAAAATTATATGATTGTACTTATACAAGGTATCTAGAATAATCAAACTCATATAGAGATAGAAAGTAGAACAGTGGTTACTCGGGACTAGAAGCAGGGGATGAGAAGTTATTGCTTAACGAATACAAAGTTTCAGTTTGGGATAATGAAAGTTATAAAGATGGGTAGTGGTGATGGCTGTACAACAAGGTGAATGTACTTCATGATACTGAATTGTACACTTAAAAATGGTGAAAATGGTAAATTTTATGTTATGTATATTTCACCACAATAAAAAAATAGGGGTTTGTTTTTACACATAAAGGAAAGCACATCCTCTCTTTGATAAAATGAATATACAAGTGGACATTTTTCACTTCTATTCTCTCCAACAACTTTCAAAGATTACCCGTGTTTTAAAGAGTTCACTGCAGTTCTGGAACAATTTCGATGATGTCTGATATTTCCCAGACAAGCCTCTTTTTTCCTTAAGTTTTTCCAAATACGTCTCTACTTCTTCTGCCTAGAAAAATAGAAAAGACACAAAGCATTAAGTTATCTTTCACAAGTAGGATATTTAAAGGATAACAAATAGATCACCTATAGAAGCAATACAATTTTCATTTTGCTGCTTCAAAAATTAACAGCCTCAGATAAAGACTCTATATAACAGTATCCAAGAATCTAACATTATTAGATTCTAAAGCACAGAATTCTAGTCTTTGGCTCGCTAAGGGTAGTTCCTCTAGCAATTCTGGAAAGACTGGGAAACTGCCAGAGTCCAGAGGGTTTTGTCACAAGAAAATATACTTAAAAGAGTTACTTGACCAAATTAGCAACATCAACAAAAAGATATACTTGTGCTCATAAGCTAAGATAGAGCACAAAACTGTTGCACCCATTCACAGCCCAATACTAATACTCTAAAAAAACTCACCATTTCTGTGGCTACACCTATCAATTCTATGATTTTTCTCCCATACCCATATCTCTAATCTCGTTCTCTTTTCTAAGGTCCAATACCACATCTCCCACCATCTGCTTGTCATCTCCAAACTTTTATCCTGTGGCAACCCAAAATAATTTTTACACTCTTTTTGTTTATCAGCTAGCCAGTACGGGGAACTTCTACACTCCTAACTTGCACTCCCTATGAAGTTAGGATCTGCTAAGCTCTTGATCAGTTTATCCCAAGTTTCAAATGTATGAACCTTTTACTGTAAATTCAATTAGTGATCACTTAAGTGAAAAAGATCAACAATATTTCAAACTGTATTCTGAAAATTTTCTCTCTAAATTGTTCAGTCTTTCCAGTCCTCCTTGTCATATCAATCCTACCCAATATTATATAACAAAAGTAAAAAACAATCACTAACACTGCAAAAAAGATCATGTAAAACCTAATACTAAGGAAAGATTCAAAATGCTTAAGTTTTGAAAAACAGACTGTACAATGGACTTTTTTTAAAGACCAGTCAAATTATCTGTGCAAAGGAACTTCGAGAATAAGAGGAACTTTAAAAAGAAAGAGGGAAGGAAAGAGGAAGGAAGGAAATAAACTGTGAACAGGGGGATGGAAAGAGAATGGAAAAGGCCTGAAAAACCCATCCCGGAGCAATGTATTTCCAGTGCTCAAGTATCATGTACTATGGCAAGTCTCAAAAGTGTAATCCAAGAACCCTTTCACAAGGTCTAAGAGGTCAAAACTACTTTCATAATAATAATAGTATGCTGCTTGTCTTGCACTGATAGTACCAAAGCAATGGTGGATAAAACTGCTGCCCCTTATCAGTAACCAAGGCAGCAGCACTTAACTGTACTAGTAGTTGTACTCTTCATAGTCACAAACTTAGTTTAAAAAAAAAAAAAAAAAAAGACTAGGTTGGCCAGTTAGCTCAGTTGGTTAGACTTATAACACCAAGATTATGGGCTCAGATCCCCGTACTGGCCAGCCACCCTCACCGCCCCCCCTAAAAAAACTTAGTAAAAAAAAAAAAAAAAAAAGACTAGGTTGGCCAGTTAGCTCAGTTGGTTAGACTTATAACACCAAGATTATGGGCTCAGATCCCCGTACTGGCCAGCCACCCTCACCGCCCCCCCTAAAAAAAAGCCAGTTTTATGTAAGAATATCCTTGATGAAGAAATAAAAATTATTATGTTATTAAATCTGGACCTCTGAGTACATGTCGTTTTTAATAATCTAGGTGACAAAATGGGAAGAAAGCAAAATATAATAAATGATTGTTTAGAGACAAAGCACTTTGTAATTGTTTTGAACTGTGAGCTAAACTAGTTAATTTTTTCATAGAGCACATTTACTTGAAAGAATGACTGACAAACTGTATTTCTTCAGACTTGGTTATTTAGGAGATATTTTCCTAAAAATGAGCAATGCACTTCAACTGACAGTATTCATTGCCAATGACAAAATTTGAGCTTTCAAGCAAAAACTGGAATTTTGATAAGTTGTATCAACTACTATGAGCTTAATGACTTCCAATAATTAAGAAGCTCCTAATGAGAGTGGAGGTGAGGTGTCTGGGGATGTTTACTATAAACAATGTAATTTTGAGTTAAATGTAAAATGAGTTAATATTTAAGAGATTTATATAATTCAGTCAACCAATATTTTCTAAATGACCAATGAATAATGTTACAAAATCATACATGGGTAAAAGATCCATTTAAAATGCAAGACATGAGGCTGACTGGTTAGCTCAGTTGGACAGCATGGTGTTGTAACACCAAGGTCAGGGGGTTGGATCCCTGTACGGGCCAGCCACCAAAAAAAAGGTGCAAGACACACCAGTGGATTTTATATTAAAGAGTACAAAAAGTTCACTAATTTGATTTCAGATTCTATATTGCAACTGACCTTTAAGAAACTTCACTTATTGAGTTTTGGTAGAGAATCAAAGACGAGTTTTCCCAATTAGCTGAAAAGGCTATTAAAATACCACTCCCTTTTCTACCTATACATATGTATGAGGTCAGATTTTCTACATGTACATCAGCCAAAATATCACAACAAACTAAGTGAAGAAGGAGATATAAGAATCCAGCTGGCTTCTGTTATGTCAGATATCAACAAGATTTACAAATATGCAAAACAACCTACTCCTCTATATCTTTTTGGAAAAATAACTTTTCACTGAAAATGTTATTTATATTAACATGTAATGAATTTATTATTGCTACTTTAAAATAAATTAATAAATATTTTTATATTTTCTCAGTTTTAATTTCTAATAGAATAACCCACACGAACAAAGGCTTTCTGAAGTCTACAATAATTTTTAAGAATATAAGAGTTTCGAGACCAAAACAGTTGAAAATGGCTGATGTGTCAGGTATGTAAATTGGGAAACATGCATTCTAGTTTCAGCTCAGCTTCTCCATAGCTACATGATACACCTTCCTCTATAAAATTAAGAGGTTGGGACAAAATGACCCCTGTGGTCCAAAAAAAGTCTGTAATTTTATATTCCTTACCTTGAAGTTGTAGATTTCATTGTAACAATCAGCACTTTTCAGATACCAGGTTACATTCAAAGACAGATCACAAGGTTCTCCATCAACTATAAAAGAAGAAATCTTTGTAACGAAAAATGATTCCCAAAATAAAAGATGATTTTTAAACTGTTAACCTACATCCTATTTATTTCCTACCCTAAACTGAGATCCTCAAAGACCATCCCTTCTCCAAAGATAAGGTAATGGGACAATATATGCAAAAGAACTGAATATTCTTCAGATAAAAGTATTGTTCATAAAAAGAAACAGCAGTTACACAGTTATTTAACCTTTTGAAACTGTGTATGTTTTTATGCCATAAAACCTCAGTTTCTGGATTCTACTGGGAAAAACCTGGGAGTGATAAAGCAGTCCTAAATTAAAATCAGTCTTCTATAATCATCCAAATATTTACTGAGCAGAGCATAAGTCTAGAGAGATACAATAGCACAGTGTTAAGACAAAGAGGGGAACAGCAGGAACAAATTATTTAAGGACCCTTAAAAATGCTACATTCTAGTTGGAGAGACAAGAAACAACATTAGAGATGTCATAAGGCAATATTCATGACTATTATTGGTAGTACAAATAATAGTTCCACTGAGAGAGAAAGTCATGGCTTGGATCTTGACAACTATCAAGATTGGATAAAAAGAACAATGAACAAAAAGCAAACATGGTGGGGGGAAGTTAGAAATAGCAAAAGCCAAGATAGAGTATTAGATTTTTTTTTTCAAAGCCCACCTTAAGAAAAGCCTCAATAAATCTCATGAAATCATGAAAGCTTCATGACTCATTAAATATAGTTTGGAACATAATTTTCTAATGGATTAGACATTAGTCTGAAGACTTGGGAATGTAAATCTGACTATATGACTGATTAGTTGTCTCATCGGTATTCCCTTTTATCTTTGATTCCAGCTGTGGAAGGGAAGATATACTTCAGACTCCCTATTTCATGCAAATGTAACAAAAATACACATGACTGCATTTAGTAATCTACTTTTGGTTCACAACAAAAGTAGCAGCCTAACAAAGCTTCCCCTTTGTTTTAAAAATTGTTTTCTGAAACTAATTTGTAAGTTAATGACCAACATATTTTCACAGGGCTTTGTTAGATTACGTAAAAGTCTGACCTGTTGAATAGAATACATAGAAATGATAAAAATGATACTGCAATCTGGCTATGAACTATTCAGAAGAACCATGCAGAAATAGGATTAATTAATTAAAAGCCAGTAAGAACACATCCCCTAATAGATTTGCAAGGAAATTTGGCTGCAAAAATATTATTGCTTACGTTAAAAGCCAACATTTAGAACTTTAAATGGAAGGCTTTAAGAGACAATGAAAATGGTCCTGCCTATTCCATAACTTTCAATACTTCCTATACTTTCTATACTGCCTATTCCATACTTTGACAAAAGTATAAAATCAGAGACAAGTGGCACATATGAAAAAGCATAGAAGTACAAAAGAAAAAGACAATATAAATTTTAAGGAGGTTCAAGTCCTCCAAAAACAATGAAATGTAGACACTTTAAAAAATGCAGCTTGCTGGGCCGGCCTATGGCTCACTCGGGAGAGTGTGGTGCTGATAACACCAAGGCCGTGGGTTCGGATCCCATATAGGGATGGCCGGTTTGCTCACTGGCTGAGCGTGGTGCTGACAACACCAAGCCAAGGGTTGAGATCCCCTTACCAGTCATCTTTAAAAAAAAAAAAAGTCCCCTTACCAGTCATCTTTAAAAAAAAAAAAAGTCCCCTTACCAGTCATCTTTAAAAAAAAAAAAAGTCCCCTTACCAGTCATCTTTAAAAAAAAAAAAAGTCCCCTTACCAGTCATCTTTAAAAAAAAAAAAAGTCCCCTTACCAGTCATCTTTAAAAAAAAAAAAGCAGCTTGCTTAACTTGGCAAAACACCATTAGATGAAAATGCAGTTGAGAAAAATACAGTACCTAAAAAAAAGGACAGAATGGCAAACAGGCTATCAGGTATTCCCAAAGACAAAACCCTGCTATCTCTAACAGCTACTCTTACCTACTACACCAATCTCAGAAGAAAGAACAGTGTGCCAGAGTAGATTTAATTTAAATCAAATTTAAGTCATTGGAAGTAGTATATTCTTCATAGAAATTCTACTTGCTCCTTTCACCCCAAGTAGAATGCAAGCTCAATGAGGGAAAGAAATTTTTCTATCACTTCCCTGTCTAAAACAGTGCTTGCCAGTTAGCTCAGTTGGTTAGTGCATGGTGCTGGTAACACCCAAGGTCCAGGGTTTGATCCCTGTACCAGCCAGGAAAAAAAAAAAAAATCTAGGACACAAGAGTAAAATCGGTGGTATCTCTATGACTCAGAACAGATGAAAACACCATGCAGGCAATCAACCAACATCATTAAATGTAATTCAACTGAGATGTGATTGCATACATGTATTTAATATACTATATAATATATATTCATATACTATATAATATACACACAGATACCATATAAGATATGTGGTATATACTCAACATATATATTCAATATAGTATGTGTATATATGTATAAAAAACATATATAGCCATGCATCACATAATGTTTCAGTCAATAACAGACCGCATATATGAGGGTAGTCAGAGCAGTAGGCTATTCCACATAGCCTCGGTGTGTAGCAGGCTATGCCATTCACATCTGTGAAAGTATACTCTATGATGTTTGCACAGGGATGAATTGCCTAGCAATGCATTTCTCAGAAAGTATTCTTATTGAGCAACAGATGACTGTATTAACATATATGTTAATATATGCAAAATAAATACGTAAGAGAATATAGTAATATATATTTATGTACATATTACATATATTACCTATAATATATATATGTGTACATATATATATGTATAGTAAACACCAGAAAAACACGGGAAGAAAATAAAGCTCACACAAGTAAGTATTCTGAACATACACCAAAAATGTTTATACCTAGATAGTGCTGGACTATTAAATTTAAGAACTTAAAAATACATTGCAAATGACCATCAGAGGAAGAAAATAGGTAATTTAAAAGCTTACACCTTTTAAAAACTCAAACGAAAACTTCATGAAATTCAAAAAACTCACATTTTAGGAAGATAGTGGTATTTCTGAAGAGGATCTTTCCAAAACTAAAATAATTTTTCCCCTGCAAAGATAAAGGAAACATAATTAGTATCAGATCACTTCAATTCCCAAGGCAGAATACAACTACCTAAAGTTACAAAATGTTCAAATTAGTTTCCTTAACCAAAAAGACATCATCTTCCCTTTTAATAAAATTCGACCATATCCAAACTGCAGGATTTTGCCCCTAATGCAAAAACATAATTTTTTTCCCACAAGCCATGAAGTACTCTAGAAGAGAAGCTGCTAAAAATCTTAATTTAACTTAAATCTTCATAGGACATACCCTTTAATCAGTTCATTCCCTTTACTCCCTAATCACTGCCCAGAATAACCAATCGTTTTTTTCAAATTAACTATTCTATGAGCAGACAACCAGAGTTTTATTTTTAAATCTAAAAGGACTTAACTATTAACTACTTTAATAACATCCTAAAACTAAATTTAATAACTAAAATCCTAAAACTGAGAAGCTGGAGATCCTCATCAAATGAATAAAAGCTATAATGCTTGCCCTATAAAAGTCCAAATAAGATTTGGGCATTACAATCAGTGAACAGAGCAGAATGAAACAAAAAGGCCAATGTAGCTTTAAGCTTCAGCATTTCCTGCCTACATCCGGTTCTTGTCCGCTCACATTACTATTCCTCTTACTCAAATAAGGTTTTAAAAGGGGGGAGGGGCAGAAAGGGTCCACCTACCTAGTTAATTGTCCAAAATAAAGACTAGCCTTAATACATTAAATTTGAGAATACGATTTCTTCCACTTTAGTCATTCTCATGTTAAAATACATTTTTTAAGTCCCTAGGCTTCCTAATCACACAGCAAAGCTTAGAATAACCATTTAAAGTTTAAACAAAATCAAACCACCTAGTAAGTTGAACTACCCAGAAACAAACAAACAAAAAAAAGTGCAGAGGAAAAAAGAAAGAAATGAAGACGCCTACCTACATATATTTCTCTCATCCAACCCGGGTTCACTGGATTCTGTGAAACTTCAGCTGAAAGATAAACCACTCTCCGTCTACACATCAAGTTTGCCTCTCCCTCAAGTCAGGCACTGAAAGTTCTGCTACTTTCCTGATGAGAAACCGGTCCACCAACTCCTTCCCGCTTCTTTAGTGGCCCTGACATTCCTATTAGCCCACCTACAAAAGTGCGTTGCTTTCCGCTCCAGGGAGGTGGGTCCCTGTGGGCCAGGGACACGGACACTCCCGGAATCCCACCCCTTTGGAAGTGACTTTTGTGGAACCCGCATGGACTCCTTGGGCCGCCGTAGCCCCTCCTCTTGCTCCTGCGGGTTCAGTCACTATTGAAGTGAACACTCACCGACGGTATCGGGATGTGCCACTTCGATCGGTCGGCAGCAGATACGGGTGTCGGTCCTGCACCGAAAAGCGACAATGGGGACGGCTGAGCCCCCAGAAGAAGAAGAATGACAGGCAACACCTGAAGCCACGCAGCAGCCGCCATCTTCACAGCCATGGAATGCTTACCCAAAGCATTTCACCTTCTTCCGGTTCGTCCCGCCCTCTTCCGGCTCTACTCTGTGGGCGGGATCATCCGGGTCCTTGAAACATGGCGGGGCTTGTTTGCCTTGAGCCCCAGAGGTCCCTCCCCCGGACGCTTGTCACTCCTTGGTGAGGCTTTGGGCCTACTGCGCAGGCGTCGTCCTGTCGTAACACAGTCAACGGGTAAGAGTGGTCGCCTCATGCCACCCCAGCTTCCGTCTTCTCTTCTCCTTTTTCCCAGCCCTTAAAGAGTTTGGGGATGAGGCAGGCACCTCGTGCAACGTTTGGCTCTCTCCTTCTCTCGCTCGCCCCAGCTCCTCACCCTTCTAAGCCAAAGCTGGACGCCGGGGCCAGAAGTCTGGCAAAGCCGTAAGTCTGGCTGCCCGATTGGCGTCTAGTAGTGAGTTGTGCGACTTTGGAGGTATTTAAGCAAAGGCTGGAATTTGGCTGTGGTGGAGTAGAAGTGATTGCGAGACTGGATGGTGTAATAGGTACCCTTCAAAAGCCCCTTCTAACCCTAAAAAGTACGATGCTGCAGTAGACTTTGGCCGGAGACTACAGTCTCCAGCAAAGCCCGGCCGGCACTTCCCACTCAAAACTAAACGGGAAGAGAGCGAGTCAGTTTTCAATATCTGTGGCGTGACCACCATTGAGATAGACCTATAGATGCTTCGCCCCAACCAAGGAAGCCGTCTCGGTCTTCCAGGTTCTCACGCTCTTGATTTTTATCCTCCAGGGCTCATTGCGTACCGCTCTCTCCCCTTCAAAGGCAGTTTTGGTTCCTAATAAAAGCACGTTCCTCGTCAGCAACCTATAAGAAAAATTTGCCAAATAAATCCACGTAGAAACGCTAGTTTGGGCCTGAAAAAACCCAGGAGCAAAATTCAGTATATATCACTCCCCAAGGATCTGGAGGGATTCCATTTCTCAGAAACTTGACGGTGGTAAAGTGCTAGTCGTGAAGTGCTGGTTGTAATTTAGAAACACGGCCAATCGGCTTCTTAAAAAGTTCACCCAGGGATTTGGTCTGGGAGCTGCGAGCCAGTCGGAGCGACAGAGAAGCCATGGAAGCAGCCGGGAACGAGGAAATCAGGTAAAAAGTTACGGTGCTTCTGCAGGGACTGACCCCAGGGCAGGCGATACTACCTTAAAGTGCCTAAAAGCAACATCATGGCTTTGAAGGTTGCAGTGATTATTTCACTTCTTTTTTGAATGTATTTGTGCGCTTAATCTTTATCATTTTTTCTCAGTTCTGCAGGGAGTTGATATTAATGGTTAGCCTGTCATAAACACTTTCGGAATGGTTAAATAACATTAACAGTGGAAATGTTGAGATCAGAACTCTAAGGCATGAATTTCAAGCATGTTGCATTCCAAGTTCAGCTGTATACCCACCTCTTCCTATATATCACTCCAGAGTTCATTCTTCAAAGTTGAAAAGAGGAGACTGCAGGTTTCTCTAATCTTTGTACACTAGATTTTAAAAAAGCGACAAAGACTGAGTTTAATGAAGGATAAACAATTTTTTAGTATAGCCAAATGTATCTGTTTGGGCTTGTTTTCAAAATATTTTGAAATTTGTGTTCAATCATAGTTTCCTCCATATCATGAACATGCTTACTACACATGTATTCAGCCACACTTCTGCATGAAAGCTGATCTGGGTTTTTTCCCTTTTAACCTATAGTCGTTTTAATCAGATGGACGCTAATTTAAATACGTATGATCAAGTAGCAATATATGTACCTCTTGTTAATGTTTTATTCCAGAAACAGCTCTTCCAGAAACTTGGTTTTAATAAACAATGGCTAGATTGTCAGACTCATTTTAAAAAGGAAAAGATTTTCCTTCTGCACCTGTTACTATTCTTATTCTAGCACTTTACACCTCCGTTATAGCATTTGCCAGTTTTATTGTGATTGTTGGTTAGGCTCTTGCAGAAAGCTTGAACACAGTCCTTCATATCCTCCTCAGAGTTCACCACCCAGTAAGAATATTCTGAAAATATTTTGTTAAATAAATAGGTGGATGGGTTGTGGTTATTTTTTGTTTGGTTGGTTTTGGTTTGGGTTGGTTGGTTGAGAGTGTTTTTTGTTTGGTTGGTTTTTGCTCGTTCAGATTTTACTATTGCAGTCATAGCCTTCAGTCATTATTTTAAAAGAAACCTTCCTCATAAGTAATGGTGCTGTTTTTTCATTACTTTCCGAGTAATCCCAGAACTTGATATTTTGTTGTTTACCTTGGATGATTTACGAAAGGATGTTGTTCTGCAGCACATATGCTGTGTTATGTTATGACCCTGACACAATTTTGCATTCCGAAGGTTTATTTTGCATGTTCATACTATAGTTAGAGAAGGTACAAAAATTGGATTCACAAACACTGTATAAAATAAGTTTCTTAAAATGTCTTTTTATTTAGTGTTGAAGATGAAGCTGTGGATAAAAACATTTTCAGAGACTGCAGCAAGATCGCTTTCTACAGGTAAGGAAATTAAATATATTACCTAGATCAAAACATTTCTGACAATATTTCAAAATTGATGCTTATTAAATTTTTGGAAACTGGTAGGCTTTCTAAGGAAATGGTCAATTAGGAAATTTAATGATTAAGGAACTCATCAGATAAGAAACTTTCACTTTAGCTTTATATACTTGCTATTATTTACATTTTTCAATGGATAGGTATTTAGTTTTAAAAGCAAATTGTTTTAAAACTAATTTAAAATTTTTATGTCTTTGAATAGATAATACTTTTACGTAGTTCAAAAAAAAATAAAGATTATACATTGAAAAGTGTTACTCCCACTCCTATTGCCTTCCACCTCATTCCTCATTTTGTCCCTGTAACCAGATTTATTAATTTCTTAGTTATCTTTCCAGTTTTTTTATAAATACATATATTGTTATATCACCCCCTTTCTTACACCAAGTAAGTTTCTATATATATTGTTGTGTGCCTCTTTTTTTCTGCTTTATAGTTTAATCTGAAGAGCTTATATGAGTACATGGAGATTGTCTTCCTTTTTTACAGCTGCACAGAATTCCACTGGGTAGATATACCATCATATATTCAGTCTGTCTCCTCTTGCTAGACCCTTGGGTTGTTTTTAATCTTGTGCTGTAACAGCACTACCTCAATGAAGAGCTATACATACATCATTTCCTACACATGTAGGTATATTTATACAGTAGATTTCAAGGAGCGGGATTACTGCATCAGAGTAAATGCATTTGAAATGTGTTAACTATTACCAGATTTCCCTCCATAAGAATTGTACTATTTTGTACTCCTATTACCATTATATGAGATTACCTGTTTCTCTAGCACTCAAAAAAATTCTTTAAAATTTTCATTTTTTTGAATGTCTGCATTTATGTGATCCTGAAATTGAAATCATAAAAAATTGTACCATATATTTTAACTTTCTAATTATTCACTCTGTTTTCTAGAGGAAGAAAAGCATGTTTTAATTTTGAGCAGATACCTAGAGGGAAGCCTACAGTGAATGCCTGGTCACCTTGTTAAATCACTAGATTATACTGGATTTCCACTAGAATGTATCAAGTTACTACTAAAATGTCCATTTCATGGAAAGAGAGAGGGAAATTAACAAGCTCATAAATGTCATCTATGAAAATTGCCCTTCTTTCTCAATAAAGGAAACAAGATGCCATCCTTTGAACAGTGTTATGTTGGACAATTTCATTAGTATTCTTGTTGTTACTAATCTTATTAGCACTCTAATAATAATAAAGTACATTTATTAGTACTTTAATCTTATTAGCACTCTAATAATAATAAAGTACATTTATTAGTACTTTATTAGAGTACTAAAACTGTCTATGCCCAGTTCACTTAATATCATAGTGAATTTTAATGACTTACATGTGATAATACTGTCTGTTGAATGCTGACAGTCGCACCTAACTCTCAAGCATCTATATACTCCATATTTGTAGGCGTCAGAAACAGCAGCTCTCCAAGAAGTCCACCTATCGGGCATTACTAGACTCAGTCACAACAGGTGAAGAAAGCATCAGGTTCCAAATCATCAATGAAGCAACTAAGGTGAGATAGAAGTATTTTCTACAGATAATAATTTGTTTCTATATTTATTTGGATTGAAGTAAATTTCTTTAAGAACTAATTAAAACCACGTATGCTTCAAACATAAACTTTGTTAGAGAAGGAATGTCATCTTTTTCATATCTGCACTTGTTGGGCCACATTCCGGTGCAAGCACATCATAAGGCGTCTGCCTGTGTGTAGTTCCTATTTTCTAATATAACCCAAGCGGCGGCCATTTTGCAAATACAAGTTCACTGCCGCCATTTCAGTAGCGCTGATATGCACGTAGTCAATTGCTCTTTCTTCCGGGGCCCAGTGACTAAGCAACTTTTTCCTGCTCTGCCATCACCCACCCCCCCAACTCGTGGCCTCCCCTGATTGGGCAGCCGTCCCTTCCCGCTCTCTCTATCTACTTCCGCTTTCTCCCTCTATATAAGCTCCAACACCCTTGCAATAAACAGAGTTCCGGCTTTGACCGCTCTCCTGGCTCGGTGTTTTTTCTTTGTCCCCGGGGCCGAAGCGCAGAGGGGATCGGGCCTGCGACACTCATCATCCCGCTCAGCCCCATAAGAGGTTGCCGCCGGCTGGTCCGGGGTCTCTTCCAGCCCGGCTTTGTCGGTCTCCGGCAGTGGGAGAACCGACATGCACTAATACTACTTTAATAGTATGAATATCAACATATAGATTGCCTGTGCATCAGATGTTTTCCTGGATGTTTTACAAATATTATTTCCTTTTAATTAATCTTCATAATACACCCAACATGTACATTGTATTATCCCCAATTTTCAGATAAGGAAAATGATGTCTAAAAAGTCACTTGCCCAAAGTCACACAGCTACTAACCAGAATTTTCTCCTGCATCTATCAGACTCCATCAAACACACACATGCTTTCTAGTACCATTACACAACACACAATTGCCCATGCAGCCTGGGCAAGGTACAGATTCAGTGAATATCCAAACCTCATAGTGTGGGTAGACCAGGGGAACAGGGGACAGGGAAAGGGACTATGTAGTTGAAAACCTCAGTCACAAGTATTCCATCTTCACTAGCAGATTACCATAGTTATTATATACTGAAAGGATTAGAGCAATATATCTTAAGTGCTTTCTCACCTGCCAAGTCATCACACTACTTCAAATGGGTCAGTCATGAAGGAAGCACTATGGGCTGTGCTAGGAAGTGAGACTGTACACAAGTACCTGATGCTCTCAACCTGACCCTCACTTCCAGGTCATTCCCCACCTTCTAAAGGCATCGTAAGTTTCCTAATCCTCTCAGACCAGTCTAACTTGTAATTCTTGTAACTGAAAGATGTAGTTAAGGCCATGCAGTCTGGATCCCCTAATAACTTGGACAGTAACTCTGCCAACTCACTAATAAATCCCAATTCTGGGAAGCTGACTTTCACTGCAGACCTATGAGACATCTTTTTGTGACTACCATAGCTCCTCCCCTATAGCACTGTACTGAGGAAACTAATTCATGAGAGAAGAAAGAACAAACATTGCTCACAACATCAGTTCTCTATAATATTTTTTATTATAGAATTCAATATAGAGTTCTCTATAATATTTGGAAGGTCTTTAATTTAGAAAGGGGTCCCAACTTTATTTTCAGACAGAAGGATCAATTGTACAATGAGGAATGCTATCTTCATTATGAAGTTTTGGAGATTTTAGTCATTTTATAGATGTGGAATCCTCTACTATAACTTTCTTGCCTAAATTCAAAGTATGGACTTCTACTTACTTAGGGTCATAGTTATGGTGGCAGTACACTTAAGTTCATCTCTCTTAGCTGCACAGACGGGACAGTTAGCCTTTCTCCAACACCTACTGCTGATTCTTATACTGCCCATTTTTCTGAAGGAATTTGCCCCCTTGCTCAGCATCTTTGATACCTTTGAGTTCCCATCTCATAATACCCCCAGAGTCATAGGTCCTCTACTGCTCATTCAGGTCTGCCATACTCTACATCCTTTTGTAGCCTAGTTTGATAGCTATTCATGGGAAAAAATAGGCTAACACTAATTTCCTTCCTGAAGAATCACCCACTATTTACGTGTGGTCTAACAGCCTAACACCCAGCCAAACCCATCTATATAGGGTCAGCAGAAACAGTTGGCTCCAGGAAATGAAACGAGTCTACCAGAGGCCTTCCAGGAGTTTTTAGCCTGCCACCAGATGTCAGGAAACTTTCTGTCATTTTCTCATTTTCCTTCTTGTCTCCATTGTGCCTAACTTCAGAGAATTGTAGTTGTTCATGGTTAGGATAAGAATCCCTGTTCACCCATGGGTAAGCTTAGTATATTGAGCATCTGAACAATCTACTGTCATGAAGACACATGCTGAAGCAAAGTAAGTGAGGCAAAAATTACTCTGAATATCAGTGGTGAGCCAAAATGAAAATTCTCAACACAGCTTGATATCAGTGCAGTTAGTGATGGACCCACACGCGCCCTTTTACATTACCATAGATCAGTTCTGTCTTCGGATCCTGAAAATATGAGGGACAATGCGGTTCAGGTCAGGTGCCAGGATCAGAGGCCAGCAGATCTGGATGCCTTCAAAGGAAAAGAAGTCACAGTCCAGGAGGACCGACAGGATCTCAGCACAAGACAGCACCTGGCTCAGAAGGGAGCTGAGGAACCTGACTAACAAGGACAAATTATCTGGGATGTCAGCAACATAGCTCCCAAGACTGAGAACTCTGAGGACCCCTTGGAACAGACTCCATGTTCAGGTATTGAAAATATTGGAGCTGCATAGAGAATCTGTGGACTCTGATATATGGCAAATACATGCAAATGTATATGCTGGGAGGTCACCCTGATGAACTTCATTTTAATGTCCTCCTTGTCACATGGAGTTGAGATAATTAATAAGGACTTAAGGTTTCGTGCCCTCTGTCAGTCTGATAGGGATGACAGAGGTCCAGACAGTAATCTCAAAAGTTGTCTACACCTTGTATCGAGATCATTGCACAGTCAAAGAGCCTCCATTAAAGGTTGTTTCTGTGATGAGATGGCTATTTCAAGGGGATTTCACATTAGGATATAGTATGAGTGTGGTCTGGAGATTTAAAACAAATTGCACACATCCACTTATTCAGAATGATAGCTTTCTATTTTAAGTTCAGAGAGACAGAGCCCAAAGTCTAAGAGGATCATATTCAGCTCACGGCAGCAGTTCTCAAATTGCACTGATGAGGCAGATTCTAACAAACCAAAAACTCTTAGTGCCTGCTTGTCCCCACACCTTCAAAACCCTTAAAGCGGTAACTTTGGTGTTGTCAAAATTTGTTGTTACTTTTCAAAATCCTTCCTCCCATTTCTCTTCCCCAATCTGCCCCTTAATAAACAATCAGAAAACAGAACCAAGCTTCATTCAACATTGTCTTAGTTGGCTTAGGTCACCATAACAAAATACCAGAGACTGGGTGACTTAAATAACAGACATTTATTTCTCACAGGTCTAAAGGCTGTGAATTCTACGATCAAGGTGCTAACAGATTCGCTGTCTGATGAGGGCCCTCTTTCTGGATTGTAGATGGCCACTTTCTTGCTGTGTCCTCACGTGGTAGACAGAGAGAGACAGAGTGAGAGCAAGAGAGCAAATGCTCTCTGGTCTTTTCCTGTAAGGGCACTAATCCCACGAGGGAGGACTCCACCCTCATGACCTCACTTAAACATGCTTACCTCCCTAAACCCCCCATCTCCAAACACGATCACATTAGAGGTTAGGGCTTCAACTTGCCAATTTTGGTGGGAAACAATTTAGTCCATAGAAGACATCATGTGCCTAGAACACAGTAATGTTACAGAACAAGCTGAAATGTTGACCTATGTATTACCACTAGGTCAGGACATCCAGACTTTGAAGAAAGAGTTGATTGCAGGTTCAGATGCATAAGTTTCTCACATAAGGTCCCAATATATTCCTGATGACAGAATAATCAGGTAGTTTTTGATAAAGAAGCTTCCAGAAGAAAATCTAAAAAGAAAGTGATCAGGAAAGTGTTGACTGCTCTTTCAGAACTGTTTTGTTTTTTTGTTTTTTCTATTATCAATATTCTACCTTCAATGAAAATTTGACCTGGATTGAGAAACAGAAACAATCTAGTCTTGTGACCTCAGTACAAGGAAATATAGGCTGTCTTCTGAGTCTAGCTAAAAATCATTGCGAGCAAGGTTATCTAGAGCAGATTTTTATCTTTCATCTACTTTTTATTTCTAATTTTATACTTTTTCATGATATGGATGACCATTTGGCAACATATTTATTTTCTTTTTCAGTCTGTTTGCAAGGTTTCACCAGAGACAACAATTTTTCTAGCAGCTTCTCCAAGGATGCGAGGATATCTCTGAGTACCTCAATGAAGTTACCCATTGCCTCTTTATCTAAGCCTGATAAGAATGACATTATGCCCTGCCAGCCCCCTCCTCAGCAGATGAGACGCAACTACTACTTGTTAGCCAGTACTGTATCTGCAGAAATGGCCAGGAACTTGCATCTAATTTGGGGACTTATGAAACAATCAGAAGCACACCTGGGCAGGCTAATTTTCTTTGGGGGATCACACTAATGCCCAGTGTGAGGTCGGCAGTGTACTCCGTAGAGAATCAGTGCTTGCACTAAACCAGCTGACTGCAACTGTGGAAGGGGTAATTTGTGCCCCATAGCAGTTTAATGAGCTCTTTAGATAATTCTCTGGATGCTGGTAGGTCTTGATCAACAGCTGGGAGAGGTGGTCGCTCACTTATCTAGGCCTTTTAGGGGTAGTGTTCCCTATATTATAAAGCAGAGACCTGGTGCCAGAGGAAAAGCAAGACCAACCCATCAAAGTGTTATAGAGTCATAATTTCTCTTCTTAACTCCCACGGCCATTTAAATGTGTGTTCTAGGTCTATTCTGTTAACTCGATTACAGTCTCTACCAGTTGTGATTTCCAGCTCTGCATGAATAAAAAGTTTTAATATAATTGTGATCAGTCTTGCTTGAATATGTAGACAAAGTTGTTTCTACCACCATGATTTCTACAAAGTGATATTTTGATTTGTGGCCATTAAAAAAACTAAAGTTATGGATGACAAACTACCATATTCTAATTGTTTTTATTGATTATGGGAGAAATAAGTTTGGAAGAGGGAATTAATACTCTTTTTCCCAAGCTGTGAGAGGTGGGCCTCTGAGTAAAGGTGTATGAAAAACCAAGTAGAGCCTTGTAGTACTAAAAGAAAATCCAAATTGTATTCCTTCCTCTGAGGATTTATCTCAGCTTCTCTGCTTAAGTGGATGTTTACACATTTTAAATATTTCCAAGGGAGCAAAACCCATGCTCTCTTATCTCATTTAAAATATCTATTTAAAATGTTTAGATGTATGTTTGTTCACTTATTGTACATAAATTGATCTGGCTTCAGTTTGAGTGTAACTGCTACTATTATCTAAGGATTAATACAAAATTCTCAATTTAAGCTATTCAGCTGCCGTAATTTATCTTCTTAATGTGTTTTTTCATTGTCATTTCTGATCACTAATAGGAAGAGATTCGGTAACTTATTTATATATTAGTTTTTCATAAATATCCAAAAAGGTCCCTACCAAGTAAGAACATGAGTATGTAGAAATTCTTAATGTTTTAGAGAGAAGAATATAACATGCATGTTTAGGCTTTGTGAAAGAGGAAGGTTTTGGTGGAAGGATTGTGCAATAACTGTCAGTTAAGAAGCCCCAGGGAGAAACTGTTGGCCACAAAGCTCTGAGGTTTCCATGGAGGTGCCTCAGAGCTCAATGCAGGGAGGGAAAGGGCTCAATGGTGGGGGCTCTGAGCCAGTCTCCACTGCCTTCAACCCAAGTAGCTTTACTTACTGGACTGCTGGGAGTCGGCTGATAATAAAGAAAAAACTAAGTCAATAGAAAAAAAAATAGTATGAGCTAGCTCATAGGAGCAGATGCATACTAGGGTCTAAGGAAATTATGTGCCTGAAACATAAATGGTATGTTGGTGATAATAAGAGATAAGAATCAACCTGGATATCGACCTTGAAAAGGGCCACCCTATCGGAAACATTTGCTTGCTAAATTAAGTTAAAATTAAAATGGAGCTTTAACTCTGATTTGCACATAAGGTCATTATGGTGAAAGCAGGGTTATTGCTAACTCTTCTCATATAATTAAGATTCTTGGGCTGCAGCCTCAAGAACAGAACATACAGACCAGCATTTGGTTTAAAAAAATTTTTTTTGAGAAAGCTATTTTACTAAAAATGGGAGGATTTCTGAGTGCCTACCTAGACACAGTTTGTTAGTCATAGACAGGCAGACAACCTATGTGTCTTGTGCTTAGGATGTTCCTGCCCATTTTTTGCCTATCCAAAGTCCTAATCCCTGAAGGCCCTCTTAAGTCCCTCCTCCAGAGAGACATCCCAGAACCCCTCACTTGAGAGTCATCATTAATATTCTCCTCCTTGGGCTGGCCCGGTGGCGCACTGGAGAGTGCGTCGCTTGGGAGCGTGGCAGCGCTCCTGCCGAGGGTTCAGATCCCATGTGGAGACCGGTTCCCGCTCACTGGCTGAGCGCGGTGCGGGCGCGACACTGAGGGTTGCGATCCCGTTACCAGTCAGTAAAAAAGAGACAAAAAAAGGGTTGCGATCCCGTTGCTGGTCCCCGGTACGGGCACGACACTGAGGGTTGCGATCCCGTTACCAGTCAGTAAAAAAGAGACAAAAAAAGGAAAAAAAAAAAAATTCTCCTCCTTGTTCTGCCACAACAATATTCTTGTCCTTCTATCTTAGCACTTACCCTAGAATGCTTAATGTTAAATTTGTATCTTTTGTCTCCTTTAAATTCCAAGAGTTTAGTCATGGCAATATTAGATGCCAAATAAGTATTAGTTGAACTGAATTTGAGAGAGCAATGGAAGTGTATGTCTAATTAAAGAGAGAACACATAATCTAATAGGATTCCAGCTTGATTTGTACTTGGACATATTTTCAAATGTTAGAATACTGGTGGCACACTTGAAGTAACTCACATATACAAAAGAATATTAAACATGTAAGCAATAATTTCAGTATGATCACTACTACATCATAACCCTGTTTCAGAGTGTCTATAAAAGCATCCACAGTCACAGCACTATTTACCTGCTCCCTTTTCAGTATCATGTCGCTGTTTAAGTGCCCTGATTGCTCTCTTACATTCTCAAGAACTAAAGTTCCAGTAATATTTTTTTCATGCTGGCTTGATATTCTCTGTACTTCCTATCTCTTACTTGTTCCACATTGTACCTATTCTGTATTATATTGTACAGTCTACTTAGTTTGTCCTTCATTTAACAAACTAATAGTAACAATATAGGTTCCCAGTTGTAAACAAATTTGGCATCACACTTCATGAAGAACTTGCAATATACCAGTGTGGCATGGCACACCAGTTGAAAACCACTGTCTTAAAATGTTTCTCTGATCTGGATGCCTCATTTTGTAATCAGCCATTTCTATTCTCTTGGAGTATAAAGTTGTTTTGTGTTTTATTTTTCAAATTCTGTATTCATAGTTTTATGTTGCTTCCATCTCCCATTGTAGGCAGAATATTATCTAAATTCCCCAACTTCTTCAAAAACTTCCCCAGGCCTTATTCCTAGCTGTAGAAGTCCCTTGATTTTAGTGCAGCAAGCCACATTTCATCCACCACTAGAGAACTCCAACGGTCATCATTTTACTCTCTGTTCTTTTCTCTTCTGTGGCCTGCTACCCTTCATCTTTCACTCAGATGGTGTCTAGTTACTCTAGTTTTAACATCCAAACACTGACTGCAAATGTATCTGTAGTTTATCATGGATACAGTAGCCATATGTCCCAATTTTCCAAGGCTGGTTTCAGTTTATGCCTGTCATCTGGTGTAATTATTAATGGAGACCCCTTACACTCTAAAGATTTGTGTTTGGACAATTACATGTTTCCCTAGCCATAGACTCCAAAGAAGGTATTTTTTGTAGCTACCACCGGTATAGCCAAGCAAGTACATACATAGATTAAGGAGATTTTTCTTTTTATTATTGCCATTTTTCTCCAATTTGCCTGGCCTATCATAATTTAAACAAATACTTTTCTGATTATTGTAATTGGTGTAGAATTGACCATCACTTTTGAATCCAATCTCATGTATCTGTTTCCAGGTTCCTCTCCTGGCTGAAATTTATGGTATAGAGGGAAACATTTTCAGGCTTAAAATCAATGAAGAGACCCCCCTGAAACCCAGGTATGAAGTTCCCGATGTCCTCACAAGCAAACCAAGTACTGTAAGGTAAGCCAAGGAATAAGGTATCTTAGATATGCTCAATATGCTGTCTTTATTTTTTTTATTATTTTACTATAAAGGCATTTTTTTATTGAAATGTGTCGGTCATACATATTTATGGGGTACAATATTATATTTATATATATATACATATACATACACAATGTGTGATAGTCAAATCAGGGTAGTTAGCATATTCATTGTAAAAATTTATCATTTCTTTGTGATGAGAACATTTGAGCTCCTCTCCTATCCATTTGAGAACACATTATATAATTATTGTTAATTATAGATTTCCTAGCACTACTGGACACCATTAGAACTTATTTTTCTGGGGCCGGCCTGTGGCTCACTCGGTAGAGTGCGGTGCTGATAACACCAAGGCCACGGGTTCGGATCCCATATAGGGATGGCCGGTTCGCTCACTGCCTGAGCGTGGTGCTGACAACACCAAGTCAAGGGTTAAGATCCCCTTACCGGTCATCTTTTAGAAAAAAAAAAAAAAAGAACTTATTTTTCCGGGGCCGGCCTGTGGCTCACTCGGTAGAGTGCGGTGCTGATAACACCAAGGCCACGGGTTCGGATCCCATATAGGGATGGCCGGTTCGCTCACTGCCTGAGCGTGGTGCTGACAACACCAAGTCAAGGGTTAAGATCCCCTTACCGGTCATCTTTTAGAAAAAAAAAAAAAAAGAACTTATTTTTCCGGGGCCGGCCTGTGGCTCACTCGGTAGAGTGCGGTGCTGATAACACCAAGGCCACGGGTTCGGATCCCATATAGGGATGGCCGGTTCGCTCACTGCCTGAGCGTGGTGCTGACAACACCAAGTCAAGGGTTAAGATCCCCTTACCGGTCATCTTTTAGAAAAAAAAAAAAAAAAGAACTTATTTTTCCTATCCAGCTGTAATTGTGTCCATTAACCAACCTTTTCCTGTCTCTCTGCCTGCCTCCTCTTCCCAGCCTATAATAACCACAATTCTACTCTCTGTTTCTAAAAGTTCAGCTTCTTTTTTAGCTACTACATATAAGTGAGAACATGCAGTATTTATGTTTCTGTGCCTGACCTGTTTCACTTAACATAATGCCTTCCAGGCTCACTCATGCTGCAAATGACAACGTTCCATTCTTTTTCATGGCTGTATAATAGTCCATGGTGTATATATACCACATTTTCTTTATCCATTCATCTGTCACTGGACACCTAGGTTGGTTCCATATCTTGGCTATTGTGAATAGTGCTTCAGTAAACATGGGGTGCGGATATCTCTCTGGTATGATAATTTCCTTTCCTTTGGATAAATATTAAGCAGTGGCATTGCTGGATCATATGGTAGTTCTATTTTTAGTTTGTTGAGGAACCTCCATACAGTTTTCCATAATAGCTGTACAGATTTATATTTTCACCAATGGTGTACAAGTTACCCTTTTTTCACATCTTTGCCACCATTTGTTACTTTTTGTCTTTTTGATAATAGCCATTCTAACTGGGGTGAGATGATATTTCATTGTGGTTTTGATTTGCATTTCTCTGATGATTAGTAATGTTGAGAATTTTTTCATATACCTGTCAGCCATTTGTATGTCTTCTTTTCAGAAGTGTCTATTCAAGTCATTTGCCCATTTTTAAATTGGATTTTTTGGGCTTTTTGCTGTTGAGTTGTTTAAGTTCTTTGTGTATTCTGGATGTTAATCCCTTGTCAGATGAATAGTTGCAAATATTTTCTCCCATTCTGCTTGTTGTCTCTTCTCTCTGTTGATTGTTTCTTTTGCTGTGCAGAAGCTTCTTAATTTGATGTATTCCCATTTGTCTATTTCTGCTTTTGTTGCCTATGCTTTAGAAGTCTTCTCCATAAAATTTTTGCCCATACCAGTGTCTTGGAGTGTTAGCCCCATGTTTTTTTCTAGTAGTTTTATAGTTTCAGATCTTAAGTTTAAGTCTTTAATACACTTTGAGTTGATTTTGATATTCAGAATGTTCTTTTATCATACCTTGAGTAGTGAAATTTATATTTAATTCCTATTTTTTCTGCTACAATCATTTGCAGAGTTAGTATTCATATATTTGGGGATAAGTTTACTCATTTTCTATGTTACCCATTCTGTTTTTTCTTTATCCACTATTTGACTCATCAGCACTTATTAATGGAGAGAGGCAAAACTTTGACCTCTGTTTTTCTTCTCAAAAAGAAAGCAGTTTATTAGCCAGACTTTAGGAGCAAGTAGAAGGAAAGCTACTTAATTTACTCACTCAGATTAGCAGCAGGGCTCCAGAGATCTAATACACTAGCCAAACTCCCGTGCCTACCATAATTTATACATTTAGACTGACTCACGTTTAATTAAGGGTATTCTCAGAAGACTAACGTAATTTTACTTAGAGTCAGAGATAAATTAATAATCAGTGTCTAGATGAAAAAAAAAAAAAAAAAAAAAAGACTATAAGTTGAATTTACAGACTTATCAGGTCTGTAAATTTAGGGCATTAATTGGGAAAAGGTAGGACCCCTCAAAATTGAATAGCAACATTTGGGAAGATTTGGGTAATTCTAAATACCCAAATCTCAAAATTCCCCTGAGCCTCCCATTCCAGCTGAAGCAGCTCTTACTCTGTCCAATAAAGCTGATCCTGCCTTGCTTGAACACTCTGTATGGACCTCATCTAAGACATACCTTGCCAGGGGATTCCAATGATCCTTGTGCCTCACCCCTACCATCCTTCACTGCCTCCAGACCCACTGTCCAATTCAGATCTCAACATGCTCAGAGAGCCAATTACAGTCAAAACCCAGGAGGAGAAGGCTAACATGTGTAAAGAATTATAAGATTTTATAATGGCAAAACCCTGGGAAATATGCATAAAAATAATTTCTGCGGGATTCCTAGACCTGAATGAAGGAACATAATTTTAGATCAGGCTAAATTTATGACACAGGTGCATGTACCAAAACAAGTGGATTTGATATGCTAGCTTGGGAAGCTGAGAGTGGTTCTATTTTCTTGGTTGGTTAACTATAGTCTAAACTCAGCTGTGGATTCTGCTGAATGAAGCTGAGATACCAGGAATTCCTTGTTACAGTGTAGAAGAAACAATCCACAGACTTAGGGAGATAAAGATGTTGAAGTGAATTTGTCATATACAACCAGCCCATCTAGCCCCCAACTCTGTTTCCCAAGAGGATCCAGAAGATACCCCCTTCATTGAGAAATACATTGGTGAGGGAACACTTGAAAAGCATTTTAGTGAATATGCTTCTTTTGTGGGCTGGATATAATGGTGGGTATTGATGCCATGAAAATGGGCTCTCTGATTTCAGTAGAGACGATGAGACTCCAGGAGCAGAGGGAAAATAGCAGCATTTTAGTTGTCGGAGATAAGGTGGACATAATTCCATTACATGCAGTAGGGCCCATGTGGTACTCAAAATGATTTAACTCTCAGAATAGTGAACAGTTTTTTTCATGGGATCCATTAGACTTAAATAGATGGACTAAAGTCCTACTTGATGGAATAATCAAAAGAACTCTAAGTTTAATGAACAGTGAGGCACAGCCTCTCAAGCAACTCCAGACAGAGTTGGTTTCTAGATCCTGAGCATCTTGCTTGAAGGCAAGGCCTAGAATCCATGGAGATGGACTGAAAGGACATAAAAAGAAAATAAACCATCCCTGCTAAGCTTCCCTAAAGAGTCCTGTGACCATTTACCAGGTGACTATCAATGCGTAAGGGGAAATATTTAGACATTTGAGGGATTTAAAGAGCTTACATAATTCCTGAGGATCCTAAACATCCTGTCTACCTGTGGAATTGGAGGCTAATGAGAGTAAGAAGATAAATAGGTAAATAAAAAAACTGACCTGGCTCTATCTTAATGTGGACTCAATCTGTGTTATTTCCATAGTTTCTGAGTATATTGATGGAATGAGAAAAACAAAGCAAAACAAAACAATGTTTAGATTCTGCGCACCTGTTATTTCCATAGTTTCTGAGTATATTGATGGAATGAGAAAAACAAAGCAAAACAAAACAAAACAATGTTTAGATTCTGCGCACCGATGTAACTAGACTTTCCAAACCAAGGTAATAATGATGATGATGCTAGCTAGCATTTGAGTGTTTATTATATTTCAGGCACTGTGCCAAGTGCTTTACATGCATTATCTCATTTAATTCTCTTCAGAAACTCTATTTGTTATTGCTTTTATAAATTACAGATAAGGACACTGAGACCTAGAAAGATTGATTAACTTACCTGAAGTTATACATCTAGTGTGTGGTGGAGTTATATTCAATTGAAGCTCTCTGTCACCAAAACCCATGATCTCAATGACAGTTCTGTACTGCCTTATCTATGCTATGTCACACAAATATTGATTTGCTAATTACTTTGAATTACAAATTGCATTGAGCCATGTAAACCTATAGCAATTTTTTATTCTCTTCCTGTTTTGTTTTGTAGGCTGATTTCATGCTCAGGGGATACAGGAAGTCTGGTATTGGCACATGGAAAAGGAGATCTGAAGTGCTGTATCACTTCAAACCCATTCAAAGTAGAGTTGGTGTCTGAGAAAGAGGTTGTGATGAGCATAAATTCCCTGGGCCAGTTATACTTTGAGCACCTACAGATTCCTCACAAACAAAGGTATTTTTGCACATTATGACACATAAAGACCTTAGGAAAACCTGATTGTGAATTCTAGATGCCTAAGCAGGTAACATATTATCATAGAAAATTGATATGCCTTATTAGCTGTAGTACTGTTCTCAGAAATTCCATCTTTTCATCTATGCAGGTAAATATAGTCTTTATAAAAGTGAAAAGTTCAAAAATGTGAACTAACATGTCTTCAGAATTTCATTTTACTCCCTTACCTGAATCTCCCTTGACTTGAATAGTTACGCAGAAGTTTTCTGGGACTGTCCACTTGATCAAAGCTGTTTGTGTGGGGTCACATGAATTGGAAGGTGATGGTAAAGAAGAGATTCTTCTTCTATTTTTGCCAATATTGTTTTAAAGCTGTAATATTGTTACAAACCAGTCTGTAATTCTTTCTATTTTTATCATAATAATGAACATATTGTATCATTTGCAGAAAGCATTCAACATTTATTATTCCCACATAGTGATTTTTTCTGGGTTTCAACTTATTTCTATTTTAAAATTTTAATATTAAAAATATCTTATTTTCTTATCACAAAATTGACTGATTTGCCTACACTGTCTCCAAGGAGACATAGCAATCCTAATGAATATGTGCCTAAGAACAGAGCATCAAAATACATGAGGCAAAAACTGATAAAACTGCAAGGAGAAATATATGAATTCACTGTCATAGTTAGAGACTTTAACACCCCTGTGTCAGAAATGGACAGATCCAGAAAGCAGAAATCATTAAGGACATAGTTGAACTCAACAGAACCATCAGTCAACTGAATATAATTGACATGTATAGACTAGTTCAGCAGCAGCAGATTACATGTTCTTCTTCAGCTCACATGAAATGTTCATAAGACAGACCACATTATGGTCCCTAAAACCATAATTAAAACCATAATTAAACCATAAAATTAACAGACTTAATAGAAATCAAACAATGTCTGCTCTCAGACCACAATGGAACTAAACTAGAACTCAATAACAGAAAGCTGGAAAATTCCAAAATACTTGGTGATTAAACAATACATTTCTAAATAGCACATGGATCAAAGAAGAAATCTTAAGGGAAATTTTAAAGTATTTTGAACTAAATGAAAATGAAAATACCACTTATCAAAATTTGTGAGATGCAGTGAAAGCAGTATTTAGAGGGAAGTTTATAGCATTGAGTGTATATATTAGAAAAGAAGAAATATCTAAAATTAGTTGTCTAAGTTTCCACCTTAGGAAACTGGAAAAAGAGCAAATTAAATTTAAAGTAAGAAGAATAAAAGAAATATTAAAAATTAGAGCAGAAATCAATGAAATGGAAGACAGGAAATCAATAGAGAATATAAAACCAAAAGCTAGTTCTTTGAAAAGATGAGTAATATCAATAAGCCTCTAGTCAGGCTAACTAGGAAAAAAAAGAGAGAAGACACAAATCACTAATATCAGAAATAAAAGAGGGGGCATCACTACAGATCCCATGGACCTTACAAGGAAAATAATGGAATATTATCAACAACTCCATGCCCACAAATTTGCTAACCTAGATGAAATACGTATCAGAAATAAAAGAGGGGGCATCACTACAGATCCCATGGACCTTACAAGGAAAATAATGGTATATTATCAACAACTCCATGCCCACAAATTTGCTAACCTAGATGAAATACACTGATTCCTTGAAAGACACACTCTGCCAAAACTCACACAAGAAGAAAATAGACAATCTGAATAAGTCTATATCTATTAAATAAATTAAATCAATAATTGATAACCTTCCAAAACAGAAAGCACCAGGCCCAGATGGGTTCACTGGTGGATTCTATAAAGCATTTAAGGAAGAAATTATAACAATGCTCTGCAATCTCTTCCATAAGATAGAAGCAGAAGGAATACTTCCTTACTCATTTTATGAGGCCAGCATTACCCTAATCCCAAAACCAGACAAAGACACTACAAAAAAAATTTAAAACCCTGCATACTAATAATCTCTCATGAACATAGATGCAAAAATTCTCAACAAAATATTAGCAAATTGAATCCAAAAATGTATAAAAAGAATTATGCAATATGACCAAGTGGGATTTATCCCAGGTATATAAAGCTGGTTCAACATTCAAAAATCAATTAATGTAATTCAACACATCAACAAGCAAAGAAAAATTACATGATCATATCAATAGATACAGTAAAAGCATGTGACAGAATCCAATGCCCATTTATAATAAAAACTCTCAACAAACTAGGAATAGATGAGAACATTCTTAACTTCATAAAGAACATTTGCAAAAAACCTACAACTAACATCATACTTAATGGTGAGAATTGCAAAGCTTTTCTGCTTATCTCAGTAAGGAGGCAAAGATTTCACCTCTCACCACTACTTTTCAATATCATACCAGAAGGCCTAGTTAATGCAGTAAAACAAGAAAAAGGGGGGAAATGGTATACAGTTTGAGAAAGAAGAAACAAAACTGTCTTTTTTGACAGGTGAAATGATTGTCTATGTGCATTAACCTCGTATCCTGCAACCTTGCTATAATCAAGGTTAATGTACAAAAGTCAATTGCTTTCCTATATACTAGTAATAAACAAGTGGAATTTGAAATTAAGAAAACACATTACCATTTACATTAGCACCCAAAAATGAAATACTAAGGTATAAATCTAACAAAATATGTACAGTTCTATATGAGTGGAACTATAAATTCTGATGAAAGATTTCCAAGAAGAATCATATAAATGGAGAGATACTCCATGTTCGTGGATAGGAAGGCCCAATATTGTCAAGATATCAGTTCTTCCCAACTTGATCTGTAGAATTAATGTAATCTCGATCAAAATCTCAGCAAGTTATTTTGTGGATTTTGACAAATCTATTCTAAAGTTGTATGGAAAGATAAAAGACCCAGAATAGCCAACTCATTGTTGATAGAGAAGAAAAAAGTCACAGAACTGACACTACCCAACATCAAGACTTACTATAAATCTACAGTAATCAAGACAGTGTGGTATTAGTGAAAGAACAGACAAATACATCAGTGAAACAGAAAAGAGAGCCCAGAAATAGACCCACATACATATAGTCAATTGATCTCTGACAAAGGAGCAAAGGCAACATAATGGAGCAGATAGTCTTTTCCACAAATGGTGCTGAAACAACTAGACATTACATGCAAAAAAGTTATCTTCACAAAAATTATCTCAAAATGGATCAGAGATCTAAACGTAAAAAACAAAACTATGAAACTCCTAGAAGATAACGTAGGAGAAAACCTGGATGACCTTGGGTATTATGGTGATTTTTTAAAATATAACACCAAAGGAATGATCCATGAAAGAAATAATTGATACTTGACTCCATTAAAATTTAAAACCTCTCTGTGAAAGACAGTGTCAAGAGAATGAGAAGATGAGCCACAGGCTGGGAGAAGATATTTGTAAAAGACACATCTCATGAAGGACTGTTACCCAAAATATATTAAGAACTCTTAAAACTCAACAGTAAGAAAACAAAATACCCTCTTAAGAAATGGGCAAAAATCATAATAGACACCTCATCAGAGAAGATCTGCAGATGGCAAGCGAGGATATGAAAAGATACTCAATATCACATGTCATTAGGGAATTGTAAATTGAAACAATGATATTCCACTACACACCAAAATCCAAATGAATGGCCAAAATCCAAAACACTGACAACACCAAATGCTGCAGAGGATGTGGAACAACAAGAACTCTCATTCATTACTGATGGGAATGAAGAATGGTGCAGCTATCTTGGTAGGCATTTTTGGCAGTTTCCTACAAAACTAAATTGTAAGAATAAATAGAGAAAAACACTGGTTTTACCATACTATTACTCAGCAACAATCAACAGAGAATACAGACCTCCGACTTCTGTGACCAAATGTGTGGAAATTTCTCCCCACTGGCAAATCAGCCAGCAGTTCTTCAGCAGACACCAGCTGGGTGTCCTCCAATTGAACTCTGATGCTCTCTACCTGGAGAACCCACAGGCTGAGGGCTAAGTCCCCAAGACTGCCCGTGCCTTCAGATGCCAGTTGTAAGCCCAGGCCTCTGGAGTTTCTGACCAATGAGCTATAAATCAGGGTTCCCACAACCCCCTTTGTAGGTTCGATTACTTTATTAGAGTGGCCCACAGAACTCAGAGAAACACTTACCGATGTTTACTGGTTTATTACAAAGTATATTTTTAGGGATACAAAGAAACAGCCAGATGAAGGGATACCTGGGGTGAGGTCTAGAAGGGTCCCAAGCACAGGAGCTTCTGTTCCAGTGGAGTTGGGGCATGCCACCCTCCCAGCACATGCATGAGTTTAGCTGTCCAGAAGTGTCCAATCGCTGTGCTCTTGGGTTTTTAAGGGAACTTCATTATGTAGGTATGATTGAAGCATGGACAACCATGTAGAAATGTAATTGGACAAAAAGGGTATGCTCTTACACTAACAGACTGGGGAAACCCAACAAAGCCTGTTCTTTACAGGCTCTTGACCTCTCTGTGTAGCATTCCTTCCTCCTGGGCATAGGGTGGGACTCCTCCTGAAATGAGGGTCTTATGACCTACAGTCAGCTAAGGTAAATCTGTGAATTTCCTGTCTGGAGGAGTAAAAGGAGCAGATGAAAAGAGGGCAGGAGAGGTCACAGAGTAACATGAGCCAGGAACCACGGATGAAAGCCAATATGTAAATATAGTAATATCACATCAACATATTCTTGCTATACAATCCAGCAGTCATACTCCTTGGTATTTATCCAAATGAATTGAAAGCTTATGTCTTCACAAAAACCTGCACATGGATGTTTATAGCAGTTTTATTTGTAATTGCCAAAGTATGGAAACAACCGAGAAATGTCTGTTAGTAGCTGAATGGACAAATAAGCTGTGGTACATCTAGAAGGAATATTATCCATCAGCACTGAAGAGGAATGAGTTGTCAAGCCATTAAAAAACATAAAGGAAGCTAAGTATATATTACTAAGTAACAGAAGGCAATCTGAAAGGGCCAGGTGCTATATGATTCCAACTATATGACATTCTAGAAAAGGCAAAACCCTGGGGATAGTGAAAAGATTAGTGGTGGCCAGGATTCAGGGAGAGAGAGGGATGAATAGACAGAATACAGAGCACTTTAGAGTAGTGGAACTACTCTTTATGATACTGCAACAGTGGATAAATGTCATTATACATTTGTCCAAACCCATAGAATATACAACAGTAAGAATGAACCCTAATATAAACTATGGACTTTGGTTGATAATGATGTGTCCATGTAGGTTTGTCAGATTTAACGAGTATACCAGTGTGGTGCAGGATGTCAATAGTAGAGGAGATTGTGCATATGTGGGGATGGAGGTGTTCCTTTCACTTATGCTGTGAACCTAAAAGTGCTCTAAAAAATAAAGTTTATTAATTTAAAAAAATTGTAAGGCAACATACTAGAGAAATTTTTGGCATTATAAGAGTCAAAATTAACATGCACAATACAGAAAGAGTTCTTACAAATCAATAAGAAAAAGAACAATGAGAAAATAAAAATGGGTGATATTAACTGCAGCAATGCATATTAATATATAATTGTCAAAAATTTAATGTTGAGTGAAAAACACATCACAAAAGAATATATATAGTATACTTTTATTTACATAAAAAGTTTTTTTTAAAGGCAAAACCGGGCCGGCCTGGTGGTGCACTGGATAAGTGCGCCGCTTGGGAAGCGCGGCGGCGCTCCCGCCCAAGGGTTCGGATCCCACGTACAGACTGGTTCCCGCTCACTGGCTGAGCGAGGCGCGGGGGCGACACCGAGGGTTGCGGTCCCGTTGCCGGTCCCCGGTCCGGTGCGGGGGCAACACTGAGGGTTGCGATCTGTTGCCGGACACGGAAAAAGACAAAAGACAAAAAAAATAAAAAAATAAAAAAAATAAAGGCAAAACCAAATAATATAGTATTTGGGTATTCATATGTATGTGGAAATACTATAAAAAAACCAAGGGAATGATTAACACGAAATTGAGTAAAGAGGGTACCTTTGATGTGTGGGGAAGGAGGCAGATGCATTTAAGAGAGGAGCATAGAAACTCCAAAGGAACAAGTCACTTCCGTTGCTTTAGCTCAGTGGTGGGTTCATGGTTGTTCACTTTAGTATTATTCTTTAAGCTCTGCATATACATTATATACTCTTACTCTTACTATACGTGCTGTGTTTTATACTGAAGACAAAGATTAATTTATAATGAGTAAGAATAAATAATTCACAGAGGAATAAATAGAGGTATCAGTAAGTGTGTAAAAATGTAGTCTACTCCATTGGGATCATAGAAATACAAATTAAAATGTGTTATCTTTCCTAAAATTTTAGATTGGCAAAGACTCAAAACATTGATAAAGTCTAGTGTTGTTAATAATGTGGGGAAATCAATACTCAAATACAACTAAGGGTGGAAGAATAAATAACCACAATCATTCTGAAAAACTGTACATTATGTTACTGTGTACTAGGGTAACTGATTGAAGGGAGCTATGTTTTACTTGTTTACTTATGTTTTGTTGAAATATTGTGAGCATGTATTACATTTATATTAGAAAATTGATAAAGGTATTTTAGAAGGGTTGACAAGAAAATTTAAATACATCTATATTTTTATAAGAAATCATTAATGTTCATTTTTGTGAACTCATTTTTATAGTGTTATATTGCAACACCGAGGGTTGCGATCCCGTTGCCGGTCCAGTCCGGTACGGGCACGACACTGAGGGTTGCGATCCGTTGCCGGACACGAAAAAAGACAAAAAAAGGAAAAAAAAAAAAAAAGAAAAAGGAAAGTGTGGTATGTAACAAGATAGAGACATAGGCAGGGGCAGTTCTGTGAAGAGACTTGTAATAATTCTTTTTTTCTTTTTAATTTATTTTTCTTAATTGGAATATGATAATCATATATATTTATGGAGTATGATATATTTGGGTACATTCATACCGTGTTCAATGATCATATCAGGGTACTCAGTATATTCAACACCTCAAACATTTGTCACCTCTTTGTGTTGGGAAACATTCAACATCATCTCTATTAGCTATTCAAAGATTCACAGTACTTTGTTTTTGACTGTAGTCTCCCTATATTGCTACAGAACACTAGATCTTATTCTTCCTATCTCTCTACAATTTTGTATCTACTGACCACCCTCTCCCCATTCCTCTCCTCTTGTTTCTAGTTTCTAGTAACTACTATTCTACTCTCTACTTCTATGAGATCAACTTTTTTAGCTTCCACATATGAGTAAGAATATGTGGTATTTCTATTTCTATGCCTGTTATCTCTCTTAACATTTTATTCAATAAATGTTTGTTGGATACCTCCTATATGCCAGGCATTGTTCAAGGAATTGGTGATATATCATTGAACAAATCTAAGTTCCCTATTTATCATGGAGCTTACTTTCTTCTAAGCCATATTAACCTTTTTGAGTTTATCCTAAGAGCAAGGAAAGTTATGAAAAGGTTTTAAGTAGCAGAGATACATGTTCTTGTTTCTGTTTTTAAAAGATTATTTTGGCTGACTTATGAAGAATGGACACTCCAAAAGTCTTCTTTTAGCTATGGCCACATGGGATGGTAAAAAATATTTTCAGTGCAATGAAGACAAATGCTTCTTCCTCTTGAGAACTGACCCATATTGATGAGCATGGGAGAATATTTTTTCCATTTCCAAATAGAGAAGATAAGGGCAACTAAGGCATAGCCTTACACAGTTTTGTGATAGTGTGTTAAATCAGCTTTTGGGAGATGGCAAATTAGATAGCTTAGGTGGTGATTCAGAGTCACAGACACCTTTGCAAAAATTTGATGAAAGCTATGAACCATTTCTGTAAAAAGTTTTTTAAATTTCATACTGTTTGAGGGAATTCACAGGCTCTAAAGCCTATCAGTGGACCTCAGGATAGTAACTCCTACATTAAGGATTCAGGTAGAATAAAAAAATGTGTAGGCTCACTTTATAGAACCTTAAATTATGAAGAAACAAGTACATTAACCTTTAACATGGGCAAAGAGCTCATTTTAAAGAAATACGCATTTCACACACAATTTTTAAAAAACTTTTTCATCCACTAAAGAAAAGGAGATATTTTAAAGCTGAGAAAGTTTACAGCTCTAGATCAGAAGATTATGGACTTGAATAGTTACTGCCATTTCAGTTGACTTGACTTCACAAACCAGCACAAGATATAGCCAGTAGTTTGGCTAATTAGGTGAGGGGAAAAAGTGCTTGTCTCGGCAAAAATAAATCTCTGCTTAGGCTCTCTCAAAACAGGTCTAAGTTATTTGATTCTAAATGTTTGTCTCACATGTTTAAAGAAAAAAAATTACAAAGAAAAAAATTTTTGTTTTTGGTGGCTGGCCAGTGCAAGTATCTGAACCCTTGACCTTGGTGTTACCAACACCACACTCTAACCAAGCGAGCTAACTGGCCAACCAAGAAAAAAATTTGACTGCATTTTTTAAAGTGCTTTCACATCATTTTGGTTCATGTAAAAGTAGTCATGTCAAATGGTATGACAATTCCTCAAAAAAATTAAACATAGAATTACAATATGATCCAGCAATTCCACTTCTGGGTATATACCCAAAAGTGATGGCAGGGACTCAAACATATTTTTAAGCCCATATTCATAGTAGTAGTATTCACAGTAGCCAAAAGGTGGAAGCAACCCAAATGTCCATCAATAGATGAGTGGATAAGCAAAATGTGGGTATATACATACAGTGGAATATTATTTAGCCTTAAAAAGGAAGGAAATTCTGATACATGCTACAAAATGGGTGAAAATTGAAGACATTATCCTAAGTGAAATAAGCCAGTCTCACAAGGATGAATACCATATGATTCCACTTATGTGAAGTACCTAAAGTAGCAAATTCATAGACAGAGAATAGAGTGGTGGTTTTGGGTGTGGGTGGGGGGAGAAATGAGTAGTTATTGTACAACGGGTATAGAGTTTCAATTTACAAGATGAAAAGAACTCTGGAGATAGATTGTGATGATGGTTGCACAACAGTGTAAATGTACTTAATGCCACTAAACTGTATACTTAAAAATGGTTAAAATGGTAAATGTTATGTATATTTTAGCACAAAAAATAAATTCATGTGAGCTATGCAACAGTGTAAATGTACTTAATGCCACTAAACTGTATACTTAAAAATGGTTAAAATGGTAAACGTTATGTATATTTTAGCACAAAAAATAAATTCATGTGAGCTATTGTTCATAAGGATGATTATTGACATTTATATAGAACACAGATTTAATTTGTAAATGTAGTGATATCACAAACTAGTCTTCTTAGAGATGAACTTATTTGTTTTTTAATAATCCAAATAAAATACACTATTGTGGTAACCGCATTTGTTGCAATTTATAAACTCAATTTGTTCCCCTTTTTGTACCAACAGGAAAATCAGGAGGATCTGGGCCTGTGGGAAGAGAAATTTGGAAAATTTGTGGATGTCAAAGCTAATGGTAAAATTGAAACTGGTGTAGTATTAAAACAGATCATAAAACAAAATGGCTAAATATTTCTCTCTAAAAGTCCCTTACACTTTCGCACCTAAAACAAATGACTTCTTTAATGTGAATAGACATCTCAGATTTGGGTCTCCTGTCTTTTAATAATGCATTGCAACAGAGAAATAGTGATTATATGCTTTTTATGGGGAATGTAAGAGAAGTATAGGCTACATGGAGCTTATGGTCTCATGCAGGGGCTGGGCCAGCACACTGCTTGCACTGTCCAGTAAATCAGACAGCTACAAATTCCATATTCTACTTATTTGAAAGTAAAGTGATGAGAAGCCACGTTCTAGAGCTCATCAGTTCCAACATTCCAAGCCAGTGGTTCTCAACCTTTTCCAGGCCTCCCCATCATTCACATGGGTCATTCACATGCCCATATGTGACACTTCTTTCAAGGCTTAGTGATGTGGTTTTGGGGGCGCTGAAATGGGGAGTTTGTCTCTTTAGGAGATACCTTTCTGATATTTGGGGCTTTTGTGGTTAGAAAAATACTCACTTTCTTCCTTCCTACTCCCTAACCTGTGGGATAACAAAACACTGCCTCCTTGAGAATCCCTAGTCTATAGCCATCTACACCTACAGCATAGTATGATGATAAGGGCTGACAGAATGCCCCAAATTTATACGTAGGGTGTGTTCTCAGGCTCTCCTTTCTGTAATGTCATAATCTTTTTTACCCTCTCTGTAGCACCCCTTTTCCACAAACTCCTACAAATAAGGATCACTTGGTATCAAATACTTTAACTTAAGCATGAATTTTTTTTTTTTTTCTTTTTGTCTTTTTTCGTGTCCGGCAATGGGATCGCAACCCTCGGTGTCGCGCCCACACCTCGCTCAGCCAGTGAGCGGGAACCGGTCTGCATGTGGGATCCGAACCCTCGGTGGGAGCTCCACCGCGCTCCCAAGAGGCGCACTGTAGCAGTGCGCCACCGGGCCGGCCCATAACTTAAGCATGAATTTAAGTCAGTGTTATGCCTCCTAGTTATTTGAATTTTCCCATATTGCTAAAACAATTTTTAAACGAAAGACTTTGTCTTCGTTTAAAAGAAGTTTATATACCTACAATCACAGGAAAGTAGTATTTTGAGGAGTCAGAAAAGCCCTCCTGGTGCCCTTGACATTATAGTCCCTGTAGGTAGTCACACAGGAGGCTGACAGTAAGAATAAGTGATCAGATGGAGGACACCCAGTCATTCATCTAGTGAAGATTGAAAGTGTTCACTATCCTTTGCTTAAGCACAGAAGTACACAATATATTTTAGGAAAATTTTAATTAGGAAAATATCCAAAGCTATATAACCATGTTTTACAAATAGAAATGAGATTTACTATAAATGAGGACACAAAGAACTTTAGCACACAGCTAAGTAACATAACTAAGTGACCAAAACTTTGCCTTGTATATGTTTGTATCTCCATAACACCTGACAGTAACATCTTACAGAGAGTCAATATACAGCATTTGCTGATTGATCAGCGCAAGCTTGGGTTTCTCAATCCCTAGTCCATCTTGCTATGCTCATAGTTAATTGAATGTCCTTAATTGATTGTCCTATTGAGAAAAAAAAAACTCAGTCAGTATCCTGGTCTCTGCAGGTCCTGCCTCCATTGGTTTGGATTTCTCTTTGCATGGATTTGAGCATCTCTATGGGATCCCACAACATGCAGAATCACACCAACTTAAAAATACTAGGTAAGTGAAAGTAAGAATTCTTGCAGGAGGCTCTGGTTTCTGGATTGAAAAAAATTTGAAAGGAACATGTGTGAGATTTCTGAGCCAGTGCTAATATGTGCCAGGCCTTTTCCTCCTTGATATGGCTTGTGGATTTTTAAGAACCTTTCTAGAGTGATCACCCAGAGCAATGGTTTTCAATTTTTATTTTATTTTTTGTTAAAAATTAGACAATTATAAAAATTATAATACTGAACCTAAAAATATAGAGGAGGTAAAAATACGGAGCTGCTATGGTTGAAGTAGAGTGGAGATCTTTATCTCTGGGTTTCACTTTCACCCCCTCAAGGCCTTTTTGTGGAACCCTGAGAGAATACACTTTGAAAAATTACTGACCTAGAAAAAGGCTTTTACCAAAAGGGGACAGTGAGCCAGAGAATGGACAAGTGTAGCCTCTCATATCACTTTTGGTTCCCTCAGGGAAATTATTTCAAGCAAACACTATTGACAAATAGATGCCAGAGGCATCAGACTAAGAACAAACAAAACCAAAGAAAAACAGGGTCTGCTTGGGTTGCCAGGTTCAGGTGCTGTTTACTTGACAGATAAGCAAGTCCCTCAGAAACTGTGCTGCTCTCACAGTAACCTGAGCTCTGCACTCCCCACCCCTATTCAATTCTGTTCTTTCCCTATCTAGCTTGTTAGGACACTATCCTTTTGTTTTAGCTGTAGAAAAGTGTTCACAAAATTCATCAGTGGATACTTATTGTGTACTTGCTATTGTGGAGATTCATGGTAGACAGTCTTCCCCTCAAAAGAGATATTTAGAGGCCGGCCCGTGGCTCACTCGGTAGAGTGCGGTGCTGATAACACCAAGGCCACAGGTTCGGATCCTATATAGGGATGGCCGGTTTGCTCACTAGCTGAGTGTGGTGCTGACAACACCAAGCCAAGGGTTGAGATCCCCTTACCGGTCATCTTTTAAAAAAAAAGAGATATTTAGAAAAGATATCTAAGATATGGGATTATGCATGCCAGTTGTCACATGAGGGGATGCCAAAGGAATCAAAGGAGGAGGATCACATTCACCCAGGTTGGGTTAAGAAACCTTTTGGGAAGTGGTAAGAGTTGAGCCTTGAAAGATGCATAGGACCTAAGTGTTTGCAGAGGAGAGTGGAGCTGTTCTATCCATTGATTATACATCTGTGATGGTAATTGATGATAATCTTTATGTTTCAGTGATGGAGATGCTTACCGTCTTTATAACCTGGATGTCTATGGATATAAAATACATGACAAAATGGGCATTTATGGTTCAGTGCCTTATCTTTTGGCCCACAAACTGGGCAGGACCTTAGGCATTTTCTGGCTGAATGCCTCAGAAACACTAGTGGAGATCAATACAGAGCCCACAGTAGAGGTGAGCTATGGATCATAGCTGCATGCCATGCTTAAAGAAGAGACAAAACCACATTTTGTAGATATACCATTGTGTAGTATGTGGTATATCTACACAATGGAATACTACTCAGCTATAAAAACGAATGAAATACTGCCATTTGCAACAACATGGATGGACCTTGAGAGAATAATATTGAGTGAAACGAGTCAGGCAGAGAAAAAGAAATTCCACATGTTCTCACTCATTGGTGGGAGCTAAAAAAACAAACAAATTAATTCACCCACATACACACACAAAAAAAAACCAGGGGGGTGTGGGGAAGAAGATATAACAACTATACTTTTATGAAGTTGTTACAACAAGCAAACGGAAAGGACATTCTTGGGGGGGAGGGGAGAGAGGGAGGAGGGAGGGAGGTGTCGGTGATGGGCCATAATAATCATATACAGTGTATATTGACAAAATAAAAATTTAACGAAAAAAAAAAAAAAAGGAGACAAAACCAGTGCAGTGTAGTCATAGCTCTTGTCTTTGTAGTGGCAGTTCTCTGCCACCAGAGGCTTTGCAGTGTAATCAGTGAATATCAGTAGTATTTACTAGAGGAACAGACTGTTACTTACATATGGATGGGTGTTCTAAATTAGAGTGAAATTTCTCAGATTTTCATTCCATTTCTTTTCCAGTATACACTGACCCAGATGGGCCCAATTGCTGCTAAACAAAAGGTGACATCTCGAGCTGATGTGCACTGGATGTCAGAGAGCGGAATCATTGATGTTTTTCTGCTGACAGGACCTACACCTTCTGACATCTTCAAGCAGTACTCACAACTCACAGGTATTTGCATTGGAAGTGCAGTTTCCTCTATTCCCTGTATCATCACTGTCTGCTAGTGTTCTAGGAGTGGGGGTGAGCTCTTCTCATCATCACTATCCTCCTCACAAGCACTCTGGTGAGAGCTCCCCTGGCTTTGCTCAATGGTTACCACCCGTCTCCTGCCTACCACTTTCCAAATTTTTTTTTTTTTTTTTTAAAGATGACCGGTAAGGGGATCTCAACCCTTGGCTTGGTGTTGTCAACACCACGCACAGCCAGTGAGCCAACCAGCCATCCCTATATAGGATCCGAACCCGTGGCCTTGGTGTTATCAGCACCGCACTCTCCCAAGTGAGCCACAGGCCGGCCCCCAAATTTTTGTTAAAATTATTTCTCCCCCATTCTCTTGTTTTTGTGGATTTATTTATTTTTTTCTTTTCTCTACTCTGATTTTAGTTGGATTTTAGGAGGGGAAGGAGATAAATGCAAGTAGTTGACCAGAAGTCCTTCATGTTATCCGTAGATGTTTCGACAATAATTTCATGACAGTTCTTCCTGACTTCGGTCTCTTTCCCTCCAAGTCGGTCTCAGCACTACTCCCTGACTTCATTTTTCTAAAACATAGGTCTGCTAAGGTTGCATCTTGCCAAAGTTTTGATGGCTTCCCTTGAGAAAAAATTCAGAATTCCCTGCCTGAACTACAAGGCCCTTTACAAACTCTCTCCCATTTTATCTTCTACTGGTGTCTCTCATATTGTTGTAAGACCTGTGCACCGTGCACAAATCTCACACATCGGGATGGCTCACTTCACAAAGACCATGAGACAGAGACCGATGCAATCAAGCAAGAGGAGTTTATTCCAGCATGCTAGGGTCACTCAGTCTCCTGGACAGAAGCGACCCCGAGCTCTTAACACAAGCACTTTTTATACAGTTTTTTTGACAGACTGTTGCAACAGGATGAGTTGTATGCTGCTTATGGGTTATCTGAGGCGACCTTTAGATTTATTGGTGGGCTTTAGTGGCTGGCACCCCGATAAGGAACAGTGTATTTCCCAATCGTTTATCTTCCTTGTGGTCTGGTCAGGTGGCCTCTAGATAAGGAACTGGTCAGTTCCTGGAACCAGGTGGTGATTACTCTCTTCCTGGAATTTAGCATGCCTGGGCCCGCCTTGATTATGCTTGTCTTTTACATTAACCCCTTAGAAGCTGCCTTACTTAAAATGGCATTAGTTATGTTTTCCCATTTTTAGCAAGCATTTGTACAGAAGCAAACTGCGCATGTTAAAGTTATACTTTTCTTCTACACTGTAACACCCTAGATAATTTATTTTTCCCTAAACCAGTCATGTACTTCTCTGCCTCTGTGTCTTTTCTATTCCCTGGGCTTAGAATGCACATTCTAGGCCCAGGGAATAGAAAATAGAATAGAGTGCATATTTTCCCTGTCTTGTATACTCCTACTTATTCTTCGGGGTCCAAACCAAGTGTTACCGCCTCTGTGAAGTATTTAAGACTCCTCACTTCACCACAGGTGGAATTTATTAACCTCTTTATATTCCCGTAACAATAGGCTGACACTTTTTTTTTTTTTTTTTTTGTCCTTTTTGAGACCGGCCACATCAGGCTCAGCCAGTGAGCGCTGTGAGCGCACCGGTCATCCTTATATAGGATCCGAACCCGCAGCGGGAGCACTGCTGCGCTCCCAGCACCGCACTCTCCCGAGTGCGCCACGGGCTCGGCCCTAGGCTGACACTTTTAACATAGCAGTTATACCTCAGAGCAGAGCAGTTTATTTATATCTGCCTCATTAGCCAAACTGTCGCTTCCTTGAAGGCAGGGACTATGCTTTCTTCTACTGGATATTCTAAGTATCAAGCTCAGTGCTTAGTACCCTGTTAACATTCAGGAAATGTTCATCAAATGAATAATGATCATTGTAGTGGTTGATTCAGTTGTCGTCTTCCTCACTTAGGCACACAAGCCATGCCTCCTCTCTTCTCCTTGGGGTACCACCAATGCCGCTGGAACTATGAAGATGAGCAGGATGTAAAAGCAGTGGATGCAGGATTTGATGAACATGACATTCCTTATGATGTCATGTGGCTGGACATAGAGCACACTGAGGGCAAGAGGTACTTCACCTGGGACAAAAAAAGATTCCCAAATCCCAAAAGGATGCAAGAGCTGCTTAGGAACAAAAAACGTAAGGTAAAATAAGCCAACATTTCTGAACCTTTTAATTACAAAGCTCCTAAAAATTTTTAAATTTGTCTTGGCACATTAGTGGAGGAGAACCATCTGATAAAAATGGCCATAAAAATAGTACATTCAAATGTAATCATAACTGTGATGACCAAGAAAATGAACAGTGAAAAGGTGCTGACTCCATCCATCCCTGCCCTGGTTGCCTAGGTCCCTGTAATGATGAAGGGCCCTACCATTTTCAGTCCCATTGGTTATGGCCACCCCATAATGATGTGATGGACTCCCCTGCTCCCCACTCAAAATTTGGTGCCAGTGTCAAGACCGATGACACCATACATGTACCAAGAGTATACGAAAAAGTTTATTCTTCACATAATGAGGCTTTCTGCGGGGAGCAGGGCTGGCTCCCAAGCTGGTTTAGAATGACTTTAGAGAAATGGATCATAGCTGCATGCCATACTTACAGAAGAAACAAAACCACTGCAATGTAGTCATAGCTCTTGTCTTTGTATTGGCAGTTCTCTGTCACCAGAGGCTTTGCAGTGTAATCAGTGAATGTCTTCTGAGAAAAGAAACTGGATCAGCTTTTATGGTGGTTAGAGGGTAGGGCTAAGGTGAGGTTTCTTGCACATGGGCTGGGGCTTACATGATTTGAACTTCCTGCTGACTGTAGAGGAGGGAGCTCCAGGGCTTACTTTGTCAAGTTGCCCAGATGTGGACAGAAAGGTAAGGGGGTGGGCTTGAAAGTCAAATATCAATAATGGAGTCAGATTCTTTATTACAATGTTTTTCCTGCATGCTTCCTTGATGGACTCCACCTCTCAGTCTGGCCAAGGAAAGAACTGAAATAGGAAATGAGGAGGGGGAGAAGCCACTGGAAAGTGTATGATGCTGCTTTTCTGTTCCAGGAGTGGTGGTGGTGGTAATAGCAGTAATGAAAAGAGGGAGGGAAAGAAGAAGATAGAGAGAGGAAAAGAGGGGCAAAACCCCATATGTATCATACAAATGAGTACAATCCCCCTCCCTGAAATTAAAGTTGCCTTTTCAGTCCATTCCTTTGATCCCCCAGGATTTTCACAGGTGGCCAGAACCAATCCTGTTAACTCCTAATTTCCCAATTAAGAGATAGCTACCATTATCAAGCACTTGTTATGGGCTGGACAGTATAATAAAACACATTATTCTGTCCAGTCATCACAAAACTATGAGGTAGGTCTTGTTACCCCATTTTTCAGATGAAGAAGCTTAGGCTTAGAGTGGTTTGGTAATTTGCACAAAGTGATAAGTAGCAGGGAAAGAATCTGAACCCTGGTGTGACTGACTCCAGAACTTCTTTCCTTATAAGCAATTATTTGTTGAGGCCTTTGAATGTTCAAGATGCTGTGCTACTGCGAGAGGGAATACAGAGATGAGCTCCTTGGGATTCTACAATGAGAGGGGAAAGGCAAGAATTCAGCCACCACAATACAGAGCAGTAACATAAGGGCCAAAGAAAGTTGGGGGTGGAGGACAGGCCAAGAGAGGAAAGAGTATATTCTGCTAGAGGACTCAAGCAGGGCTTTGTGCCACAGGAGTATTTTAGATGAGCCCTGAAGGCTGAGACTCTAACTAGTGGAAAGGGGGCAGAGTAAGAGAATAATACAGCCAGAGGATGGAGCATCCAGGGGCGTTTGGGAAGCAGTGTTCAGGCTGGTTTGACAGGGGAACAAGGCATGAGTAGTGGGGAATCTGACCAGAAAGGTATGGACCTTATCGTAGGCTGCTTTGTATGCATCTGGAGACATTAGAAGTTTTTCAATAGGGGGTTAATATCCAGAACCTAACAAACTCCTTCAATTCAATGACAATGACAAAAAAGCAATTAAAAAATTGGTAAAGGACTTAGACATTTTTCCAAAGAAGACATAGAAATAGACAACAAACACATGAAAAGTTGCTCAGCATCACTAATAATCAGGGAAATGCAAATCAAAACCACAGTGAAACACTACTTCACGCCATTAGGATAGCTACTATAAAAAAGAAGAAGAAAATAACAAGTGTTGGTGAGGATGTAGAGAAATTAGAACCTTTGTAAGCTATTGGTGAGAAGGTAAAATGGTGCAGCTGCTATGGAAAACAGTACAGCAGGTCCTCAAAAAATTAAAAATAGAGCTACCGTGTGATTTAGCAATTTCCACTTCTGGGTAGATACCCAAAGGAATTGAAAGCAGGAACTTGAACAGATATTTGTACACGCATTTTCATAGAAGCATTAGTCATGGTAGCCAAAAGGTAGAAGCAACTCAAGTGTCCATCAGTGAATGGATGAATGGATAAATAAAATGTAGTATATACTTGTACATACAGTGGAATATTATTGAGCCTTTAAGGAGGAAGGAGATTCTAATACATGCTGCAACATGGATGAAACAATATATGCTAAGTAAAGTAAGCCAGTCACAAAAAGGCAAATACTGCATAAATCCACTAATACAAAGTAACTAGAGTAGTCAGTTTCATAGAAACAAAAAGTAGAATGGTGGTTGCTGGGGGCTGGGAGGAGGGAATGAGGAGTTTTTGTTTAAAGGGTATAAAGTTTCAGTTTTGCAAGTTGAAAAGAGTTCTGGAGATTGGTTGCAGAATAATATGAATGTACTTAACACCACTGAACTGTACACTTAAAAATGATTAAGATATACAATTTAAAATTTTAAAATATTGGTTAGAGCATGGTGTTATAACACCAAGGTCAAGGGTTCGGATCCCCAAACTGATGAGCCACCAAAAAAATTTTTTTTGTTAAAAAATAATTTAAGAAAAATGGTTAAGATGATAAATTTTATGTTATGTGTATTTTACTACAATTAAAAATTTTAGAAAGTTTTGAGCAATAGCCAATTAAACTTAAGTATGTAGGATGGATTAGAATGGAGATGAAGAAGGATGATTAGAAGGTTGTTCTAAGAAATGAAGTGGTATTGAGGCCCTAGACTGGGTAAGAGTGATGGTATTGGAAAGGCAGGGGGAGATGCTAGAGACAGGGAGCTGTGGCTCACAGCTTTTCTCAAACCTCCTTCCTAAATATTCCTGTACCATTGGGCTTGAGGGTTTCTGTTTGTTTGTTCTTTACATGTTATTCTCTGGGTTGCTTTAATGTTTGCTTTTATCAGTGTTATCTTAGCTTCTTTTTTTTTTTTATTTTTTTATTTTGTCAATATACAATGTAGTTGATTATTGTGTCCCATCACCG